AAGCAGTTCTCCTGCCTCAGCCTCCCAAGTAGCTGGGACTACAGGAGCCCACCACCACGCGCAGCTAATTTTGTAGTGTTAGTAGAGACAGGGTTTCTCCATGTTGGTCAGGCTGGTCTCAAACTCCCAACCTCAGGTGATCCTCCCACCTTGGCCTCCCAAAGTGCTGGGATTATAGGCGTGATCCACCGCACCCGGCCCCAGCATGTTAATTTTAACAGCAAAAACGGTTTGTTGGGGTTCAGACCATGATCCCCACAAGCAGGGTGCCTGGCATGAGGATTCAGGACTAAAGGAAACTAGAAGTCCTCTGGTGCATCCCAGGTCTTTCTCCAACCTTCTCCTCCTCTCCTGTCTCCCGCCCTCTTTCTCCCCCGCAGCAAGTCACAGAAGCCAGAATTCCTCTTTCCCCAGGTGGGTCATGGACACTGGAGCCCCTGTCTCCCAAAAGCCAGCCATGAGACCTAGACACACGACTCGAACCCTCCCTGACTTTCTGGGGAGGAGATGGCCATGCCCACCTTGTCTGACTGTGGGTCATAAGACCCTTGCTCCGGGGGTTCTGCCCCATCCCCGGGGGAGGACGCACTGCACAGAGAGGCCAAGGGGAATCTGCACAGCTGGCCTCGCCAGTCTCCCCACAGTCCATCCCCACAGGCATCCCCTGCCGTCTGACACCTGTCCACATGGCTGCCCGTTCTCCACCGACTCTAAGCACAGGAACCATCCTCCCTGGGTCTCTGAGTCTCCACTTCTGATGGCTCCCTGTCACCTAAAGCTTTGATTAAATAAATCTGGTGTGCTTTTCTCTTGTGAACCTGCCTTTTGTTATAGAACTGTCACCCATGGCCCTGATGATGATGAGACCATCCCTATAAACTTTATAAAATTAATCAAGGAAGAAGAGAGGAGGAGAAATGAGAATAAACCAGGCTTGTAGTACATTCAGCATCCATCACTAGGTCATCTTGCTCACTGACCTCAAAGTTTTTTGGTGCCCATTGCATTAGAATCACATAGACTCTGTTACAAGATTGCAGCTCTCCCTCACTGCCCTATAGATAACAACTTGAACATTACAAAGGTTTCCTTTTTTTTTTTTGAGACAGAGTTTTGCTCTGGTTGCCCAGGCTGAAGTACAGTGGTGCAATCTCGGCTCACTGTAACCTCCACCTCCTGGATTCAAGTGATTCTCTCACCTCAGCCTCCCACGCAGCTGGGATTACAGGTACCTACGATCACACCTGGCTAATTCTTTGTATTTTTAGTAGAGGCAGGGTTTCCCCATGTTGGCCAGGCTGGTCTCGAACTCCTGACTTCAGGTGATCCGCCCACCTCGGCCTCCCAAAGTGGTGGGATTACAGGTGGGAGGCACCGCTCCCAGACAAAGGTTCCATTTGAGATGTTCTTTTGGGTCCTGGGTACCAATGAAACTACTGACACCGGCCAGGCACGGGGTCTCCTCCTATCTCCTTGCTCGTGCCCTGCAATCACTAACTTCTTCCCTGCTGCAAACCCTGCTGCCGTGGGGCACTGGTGTGTCACGGAGTCACTGCGGAGCAGGCACGTGGATCTGCTGGTCTTGTAATAATGGGTGAGGAAACAGATTCTACCCCTACAGTTCGAAACAGCTTTGATGCCCATGACAGAAGATTCATGACAAATTCAGGTTCATCCACCCAACCTTTAACATTAAAAGGCTGGTAAACAGGGCCGGGTGCAGTGACTCACGCCTGTAATCCCAGCACTTTGGGAGGCCGAGGCGGGTGGATCACGAGGTCAGGAGATCGAGACCATTCTGGCTAACACAGCGAAACCCCGTCTCTACTAAAAATAGAAAAAATTAGCTGGGCATGGTGGCAAGCGCCTGTAGTTCCAGCTACTCAGGAGGCTGAGGCAGGAGAATGGTGTGAACCCAGGAGGTGGAGCTTGCAGTGAGCTGAGATGGCGCCACTGCACTCCAGGCTGGGTGACAGAGCGAGACTCTGTCTCAAAAAAAAAGGTGTTAAATGGTTCTGTGCAAGAAGGCTCACACCAGCTCATTCTTTTAGCAAAAAAACTGTGCTGCATCCGTAAAACACTGCACTACGCGGCTGCAAAGAAGGACACATCACTGAAAATCGGCATATGGATAAATCTCACAAACATGCTGAAAAAAGAAGGCAGACAAAAGAATACTTCACACAGGTTCTCTTTATAAGACCACTCTAATCTATTGTCACAGAAAGCAGATTAATAGTTTACTGGTGAGCAGGGAAAGGAGGCTGACTTCAGACAGGCACAAAGAAACCTTCTAGAAGGGTGGAAATGGGCTGGGCGTGGTGACTCACACCTGTAATCTCAGCACTTTGGGAGGCCAAGGCGGGTGGATCACCTGAGGTTGGAAGTTTGAGACCAGCCTGGCCAACACGGTGAAACCCTGTCTCTACTAAAAATGCAAAAATTAGCCAGGTGTGGTGGTGGGCACCTGTAATCCCAGCTACCAGCCTAGCCAACACGGTGAAACCCTATCTCTACTAAAAATGCAAAAATTAGCCAGGTGTGGTGGTGGGTGCCTGTAATCCCAACTACTCAGAAGACTGAGACAGGAGAATCGCTTGAACCCGGTAGTCGGAGGTTGCAGTGAGCCAAGATCGCACCACTGCACTCCAGCCTGGGCAACAGAGTGAGCCTCCATCTCAAAAAAAGATAAAAGAAAGAAACAGTGGAAATGTTTTATATCTTGATTGGGGGTGTTCGGGGTTATACAATTGTCAAAACTCATCAACCTATACTTAAAATGGATTCATTTTACTGTATATAAATTGTAGCTTAACAAAGTTGACTTTTCTTGTATTTTATTTTTTCAAGAAGGCTCTCCCTCTCACTCCAGCACACAACAGACTGGAGTGCTTTGGTGTGATCACAGCTCACTGCAGCCTCAAACTACTGGGCTGAAGCAATCTTCCCACCTCTACCTTCCGAGTAGCTGGGACCACAGGCACTCGCCATCACACCTGGATAATTTGTTTTAGTTTTTTATAGAGACAGGGTCTCACTTTGTTGCCCAGGCTGGTGTCAGACTCCTGGCCTCAAGCAGTCCTCCTACCTTGGCCTCCTAAATGCTGGGACAGGCACACACCACTGTGCCTGGCCTAAAGTTGACTTTAAAAGAAAAAAATACATTTAAAAAAAAGAGAAGGCCAACTGCAGTGGCTCACGCCTGTAATCCCAGAACTTTCTGAGGCTGAAGCAGGAGGATCACGAGGTCTGTAGCTTGAGACCAACCTGGCCAACGTGGTGAAACCCCGTCTCCACTAAAAATACAAAAATTAGCTAAGTGTGGTGGCACATGCCTGTAATCCCAGCTACTTGGGAGGCTGAGGCAGGATGATCACTTGAACCTGGGAGGCGGAGGTTGCAGTAAGCTGAGATTGCACCACTGCACTCCAGCCTGGGCAACAGAGCGAGACTCCGTCTAAAAAAAAAATACATATATATGTTTATATGTAAAAATGCATACATATATGCTTATATGTAAAAAACACATACATATATATGCATACATGTAAAACACATACATATAGGCATGTATTTAAACGCATACATGTATGCATGTATTTAAAACACATACATGTATGCATGTATGTAAAAACATACATGCATGCATGTGTGTAAAACAAACATGTATGCATGCGTGTAAAACAAACATGTATGCATGCGTGTGAAACGCATGCGTGTGTGCATCCGTGTAAAAATGCGTGCGTGTGTGCATGCGTGTAAAAATACATGCATATATGCGTGCATGTAAAAATACATACATATATGTATATATATGGCCATGAGGACTGTGCAGCCTGATCACTATACCGGGTGTGCCTGAGTCCAAAGCCTATGATCTTGACGGCAAGAAAACGATGATGTAAAGGGGCTACAGGATTTAATGAGGGCCCCAATAGCAAATATGCAAAATAGGCACATGGAGAAAAGACTGGAAGAAAAGAGGCTAAAATGCCTTCAAGGTCAGGCTGACGGGAGATGATGTGATTCTCTTTATTGTTCTATTATGTTTTTATTTCAATCATAATAAGGGGAATTATAACTTTTAAAAATGCTTTACTACGTTAATAGCTAAACATGGGAAATGACCCAAATACTCAGCAACAAAGGATCCGTTTAAAAGCGTGCGTGGCACGTCCATCCAGCAGAGCAGGGCGTGATTTCGTCCTCTTCCCGAAAAGGCCCAAAGAGAGGTGGAACTGCTGTGGGATTTTTTGAGGACGGGCTTCCCGGGAATTTTCCATTTCTGCTTTTCTTATTTTTCAATGTTATCTTACTACCTGGGTGACGTGTCACGAGTTCAGGTTATTTCTACCATCAGAGCCTGGGGTGGAGGATACAGACCTCGCCCACTGCAGCTGCCCACAGCGCCCCGCCCGGCCCCTCCTGCCTCCTTCGTCCCGCACATCCGCTGCTGCCCTGACACACCGCGATTCCCTGGTGCCAGGGAGAGCCAGGGCAGAGGTGGCCCTGAGACGCCACGCAACAGGGAGGGCTAGAGCATAAGGCGGAGCGAGGTGCGCATCCGCTGTGACCTGGCGAGCGGCTTCACCTCTCTGGGCCTCGGTTTCCACCCCGCGGGAGCGGGTACGACGGGGCCTGCGCGCATTGCCGCAGTCACGCCTGCAAGACCCGGGCCGGGTGAGCAGCTCCCGGCGCTCCGCGAGGACCCCGGACTATCTGGCAGGGGCTCCGCCCTGGGACCCCCATCCTGTCTCGGGGGCGGGACCTTCGGGTGCGCAGGCGGTGCGGGCCGTGTCCTGGGAAGCCGGGTCCGCATCCGAGCATCAGGACAGCGTGCGGCCGCCTCATTGGCCGGCGCGGCTCTGCAGGGCCATCCCGCAGCCAATCGCGGCTGAGGGGCGGGGCCTGGCCGGTGGAGCTGCGGCCCCGGTGCGGCTGCTCCAGTCTGAGCGCCCTCCGCTCACCCGGAGAGAGACCCGGCCATGCAGGAGCCGCTGCTGGGAGCCGAGGGCCCGGACTACGACACCTTCCCCGAGAAGCCGCCCCCGTCGCCAGGGGACAGGGCGCGGGTCGGGTGAGAGTCGCTGGGTTGGGGACTGGGGGTGGGGCCTGGGGGTGGCTCTGGTTCCCTCCAGCCGGCGACACGCTCCCACCCTGGGCCTCCCCTGACCTAGTCGCCACCGAGGGGCCATCTGGCTCCCTTCTGTCCCGGACACGCTACTCCTATTTAAGGAACCGGTCCCTTTAAGGGAAGGAACGATCCACGGGAGTACCGGGCCCAGCCCCCTACTGCCACAGACAGGAAGACTGAGGCCCCAGCGAGCAAGGGGTCTGCCTGAGGTCACACAGCAAGCCTCCAGCCGCAGACCTGGGGGCAGAACCAGAGCCTCCTCTTCCGGAGAAAAGGCCCCAGTACCAGAGGCTCAGCCACGGCGATGAGCTAACAATGGCCTGGGAATTTCCCAGGGGAGCTGGGGCTCAGGCCCTGGGAACCTGAATGGCCTTGGACCCAGGCCTCCCCAGCACTGCCCGCTGAGCTGGGCAGCCCCTGGGTTCAGAAAAGGCAATGGTTCCTGGAGGAGGGACTCAGAGACCCTGGTCCTTTTGTCCGCCACCATCACCAGGGCCCTGCAGAACAAAAGGGTGTTCCTGGCCACCTTCGCCGCAGTGCTCGGCAATTTCAGCTTTGGGTATGCTCTGGTCTACACATCCCCTGTCATCCCAGCCCTGGAGCACTCCTTGGATCCCGACCTGCATCTGACCAAATCCCAGGCATCCTGGTTCGGGGTAAGGACCATCCTCGGAGGAGGGTGGGTGCAGGGAGCAGGGACCTGCTGAGCCTTGTCCCCGGCTAGGGACCTCCCAAATTCTCCACCTTGGGAGCCCCTCCAGGGCCCTGGTGCCCCCGCCCCCAGCCATCCAGGCCACTGGTGGGTGGGGTAAAGCTACAGGATTCCTCTGAAATGAGGAACTGAAAACCAGTGGAGAGGGTGAAGGAAGGAGCAGGTGGGGAGGTGGCTGTCAGGGTCTACACTAGGTGGGGTTGAGGCTTCCCCAGGTCCCCACACCCACAGTTGGCTGGATGGGGGCAAGGGTATCAGGTGTCAGTGGGGAGAGGCACTGGCTGGGGCAAGGAGGGTCTGCAGGACAGATTGTGGGCTGATGGAGAGGAAGATCCCAAAGTCCCAGAGTCTAGAATTACAATCTTAATAGCCTCAGATGTAGTTACAACATAGTAGTTAAGGTAAGATTTACTGAGCACTTCCTATGTGCCAGGCACGTGTTGGGCACTGAACGTTCATTGACTCCCAGGGCCAACCCCACGAGGTAGCACTTGTGCTCTCCCCATAAGACAGCCCAAGAAACTGAGGCTCAGACAGGCTGGGCAATGTGCCCAGGTCCCACTACCAGTTAGCAGAGTCTAGAGGGGGTCCCAGTTGCTGCTGTACAGGGAACTTAAGAACCTCCAAATCTTAAAGCCCAGGGCCTTGAAGTCCCAGAATTCTCCTGTATTAAAATATTAGACATTTAAACATCAGGCTGGACAGAACCACTGTGTATATGTGGCAGTGCCTCTTCCTTAGAGCAGAACTCCCTGTTTGAGCATCCCTAACAAATGGCTGTCCCTTGAAGACAGGAGGCTCCCTGCTTCCAGTGCTTGACTTGGCCAAGTGCTTGACCAGCTCCTGGGGTCGGCCTAGAGAAGAAGCTGTCCCTGGACTCTGATGAGAGTGGGGTGCGCAGTGCCCAGACATATCTGCCCTGCACCCCCTTCCCCTGCAGTCCGTGTTCACCTTGGGAGCAGCAGCCGGAGGCCTGAGTGCCATGATCCTCAACGACCTCCTGGGCCGGAAGCTGAGCATCATGTTCTCAGCTGTGCCGTCGGCAGCCGGCTACGCGCTCATGGCGGGTGCGCACGGCCTCTGGATGCTGCTGCTCGGAAGGACGCTGACGGGCTTCGCCGGGGGGCTCACAGCCGCCTGCATCCCGGTAAGGCCAGGCCTTCCCACCCAGGGGCCCCAGTGCCTCTGTATTGGTGCTGAGCCTCCATCTGACTAAGGCCTCCCGGCCTCCATGCCTTCTGGGCAATGAGAATTGTTTGCCTTCCCTGCGGATGCCCTCAGCTCACCCCCAGCAGGGCAGCTAATTTGGGGGCAATTGTCTCCAGGTCCCCGGCTGCCCCCACTCTGGACTTTCCAAGCCTTCTACCCCGTTTCTTGACTGGTCAGATGTATTACTCAATTGGAGAAAATCCGCATTGAGCAATGGGTAGGAGAGGGAAGTCCCTGCCCGACACCCTCCCTGGGACCTTCTTATTTTATCCGGCACTCCACACGGGGCCTGGTGAGCCCAGCAGAGGAGACAGAACTCACTGGGAGGCACGGACTCACCTGCTGAGCCCTGGAGCCTGGGAGCCCTCGGGCCTCCTTCCCAGCATCATGCTGCTCATTTCTGAGCTAAGTCCTTCCACCCACCTCACAGTTAGGGAAACTGAGGACAGAGGGAGATCAGGCAGGCCGCCCAAGGTCCTGCAGTGAGTCATGACCAGGACACAGCCCCACCAGAAAGCCTCCACTTCCCACTTTCCGGGGTTCGCAGGGGCCGCCCCTCCCATCTTGGCCGGGCCTAGGAACCCGCATTCTCAGCAAAAGCTGGTGCGGCGGCTGTGTCTTGCAGGTGTACGTGTCTGAGATTGCTCCCCCAGGCGTTCGTGGGGCTCTGGGGGCCACACCCCAGCTCATGGCAGTGTTCGGATCCCTGTCTCTCTACGCCCTTGGCAAGTATGGCCCTGCACTCCTGTGTGCAGGCTGGCGGGAGGGGTGGGTGCCGCCAAGGTAGACGTGGGTGGAAAGGGAATGATTTGCCCCAGAACAGATCCTGGGCTGAGAGGCAAGAGATCTGGCATCCCGGCGCCACTCAGCCAGCACCTTGCTGTGCACCTCCAGGCAGGGCCTGCCCCTCTAGCCACAGGCCCAGTCCCTAGCTGGGGCAGCCAGGGCTTCTCCTGGACCCACAGTCGCCAGACTGTATTTTAACGGCAGAAAGCTTCCATCAAATGCCATCTCAGATGGGAAGTCCAGATAGAAAAGAAATCACAGTGCATGCAGCTGCTCAGTTGAGGGGGCGTGGAGGTCTTGGGTGGAGGCCCAGGGCCTTGCCTGCCCAGCCTAGTCCTTCCTCATCCGGCCCTGGCCCTAAGACTTTCCAAGGACTTCCCACTATGTGCCAGGGGCTGAGCAATCCCTGCAGCCCCACCCTGCCTGGGGCAATCAGGGTAGGCTTCCTATAGGAGGTGGCCCTTGGACTAGACCTTAAAGGGCAGATGAGGTTATTCAGAGGCTCCAGAGGGAAAGGGCTCTGCCAGGCCTGGACCTGGCCCCTCACCCGCTCCTCGCCCCCAGGCCTCCTGCTGCCGTGGCGCTGGCTGGCTGTGGCCGGGGAGGCGCCCGTGCTCGTCATGATCCTGCTGCTCAGCTTCATGCCCAACTCGCCGCGCTTCCTGCTCTCTCGGGGCAGGGATGAGGAGGCCCTGCGGGCGCTGGCCTGGCTGCGCGGGACGGACGCCGACGTCCACTGGGAGTTCGAGCAGATCCAGGACAACGTCCGGAGACAGGTGCAGGAGGGTGTGCGCATGAGCCTGGCAGGCCTGCCTCCCACACTTCAGCTCTGTGTGGCCGTGGAGGCTTTTCCTGGAAGACAGGACCGCAGTAGTTCCCACTAATCCAAGTGCCTGGGTTGGGGTTGGGGGGCTGTCCCCAGAGCCTGGGTGGCCTGGAAAGCTGGTTCTTTCCTGGAGGAGGGAAAAAGGGGGTCTCCCACCCAACTCCTAGCAGTCCAGGGCAGGATGGCGCCTGCTGGAGAGGCTGGCCCAACACCCTCAGTGGCGGCCTTGTGTTTCAGAGCAGCCGAGTGTCGTGGGCTGAGGCACGGGCCCCCCACGTGTGCCGGCCCATCGCCGTGGCCTTGCTGATGCGTCTCCTGCAGCAGCTGACGGGCATCACGCCCATCCTGGTCTACCTGCAGTCCATCTTCGACAGCACCGCTGTCCTGCTGGTGAGAGCCCAGCCCCTGCCGGCGCCCACCCACGGGGTCCCCTGGAGGCTGGCAGGGCAGGCCCGGCTTGGGAGGCAGGGCCTGCTCCTACATTTACCCAACCCCCGGCCTTGCCCACACCTGCTCTGTGCTAGGTGTCAGGGATGCCACAGCAAGATCTGAGATCTGGGCCATGTGGAGACAGTTCCTGTGCCTTCACCTCTTCTCAGAATGTTTTTAAGAAAAGCTTAAATGTTTTAAAATAAAATACTGGCGTAATCCCAACACGAGACTGAGGCAGGCGGATCACTTAAGCCCAGGAGTTTGAGATGCCAGCGAGCCACGATCTCACCACTGCGCTCCATCCTGGTGACAGAGTGATACCCTGTCTCTAAATACATATAGAAATTTTTAAAGTTAAATAAAATACATGGGATTACAAAGGAAACCAGCTTCATAGAAACGTGGACCCCTTGAGGTGATAGACCCCAGGTTCAGAGCCCTGTGGCATCTGCCACTTGATGAGGGAAGTCACTTTCCCCTCTGAACCTCAACTTCCTCCTCTGCAAGAAGAAGATAGCAGCACGTCTCCGTAGGCCTGCCCCAAGGCTCAGAGTGAGATGAGATTTGGAGATTAGTAACAGCACGGTTTGGCAAGTCATCATTACGCCTGGATTCTGTGCCAGCTGAGGGTAGTGGTGGGCAGAGCAGATGTGTGCCTGCCCAGGAGGCCCCGTAGGCCTGGACAGTGTAGATGCCCAGCATGCTGCAGGCGCCAGACCACTCAGTTCTGCGCTGAGCTGCTGGCCTGAGCCCCTGCAGTGCCGGCAGGGACAAGCTGGGTCCTGGACGGGGATGGGAACAGCAGGCAAGTCCCTCAACCCTGGTGGCCTCCCTCCCCATAGCCCCCGAAGGATGACGCAGCCATCGTTGGGGCTGTGCGGCTCCTGTCTGTGCTGATCGCTGCCCTCACCATGGACCTCGCTGGCCGCAAGGTGCTGCTCTTCGTCTCAGGTAAGCACCCTGCAGCCAGCCCTCCTGCCCCACTCCTCCGCATGGGTCGGGGCTGGGCTGGGTGTGCAGGCCTGCCTCGGGGTGGGGCTGTGTGTCTGGGAACTGTAGGGCACCTGCCTCCATAGCATCAGCGGGGCCCTGGCCCAGGCCAGTGGCTCCAGAAAGGTCCACTGGGGCTCCGAGTGGACACACTGGCTGTGACACTCCATGGTGGGCATGGTGGGAGCCTGACACGTGGCTGGAGACAGAGCTTGCTGCCCTGCCAGGGGTCTCTAGTCCCAGACACGGGCTGGACCACGCAAGTATCAAGGGGCTCTGCAGAAAGAACTCTGAGAAAAACAGCTGGCTCAGAGGGTCCTGGCCCCACGAGGCCACCTGTCTGTCCACAGCGGCCATCATGTTTGCTGCCAACCTGACTCTGGGGCTGTACATCCACTTTGGCCCCAGGCCTCTGAGCCCAAACAGCACTGCGGGCCTGGAAAGTGAGTCCTGGGGGAACTTGGCGCAGCCCCTGGCAGCACCCGCTGGCTACCTCACCCTGGTGCCCCTGCTGGCCACCATGTTCTTCATTATGGGTAGGTGTGGCGGTGGCTCAGGGGGCAGGCTGTCTCGGGTGTTAAGGGATGGGTGATGTGTCTGGGGTGGCTGGAGAAGGGGGTCTCCAGCAGCTCAGTGGAGACAGACACAGCCACCTCCAGTCGCCCCACAGGGCCTCAGCCTGCCTCCTCCTCCGAGCAGGCTACGCCATGGGCTGGGGCCCCATCACCTGGCTGCTCATGTCTGAGGTCCTGCCCCTGCGGGCCCGTGGCGTGGCCTCGGGGCTCTGCGTGCTGGCCAGCTGGCTCACCGCCTTCGTCCTCACCAAGTCCTTCCTGCCAGTGGTGGTGAGTGCTCAGCCCCGGGCCCCCAGGCCTTCTCTGACTGACCAGGACCCTTCTCAGTGCCAGGGGCTATGCTAAGGCCAGCTCTGTCAGGCCCCTAACTCTCAGTGATGCTAGGAGATGAGCACACACCCCCTGAACTCAGAGGCCCCAGAGTGGTCACGTGACAGTCCGACAAAGGCTCTTCATTACGAGAAACAGGAACGGGCTCGGGAGACTGTTCTGAGAAGTCAGGTTACCTCCCAGGCCAGGGCAGGACATGGCCCAGAACCCTGCCGGGAGCCCAGGAAGACCACCTCCCCACCGTGCTCCATCTCCCGCCCTCCTGGGCACTGGGTCTCAGGTGCACCCCCACAACACCCCCTTCCGCTCCCACACGCTCCCCCCAACCCCTCCCGCTCCCCCTGCCTCCTGATTCAAAACTACGGGCCCTGTGACCAGCCAGAATCTGTGAGGCCCAGAGTAAGTTCCCATGAGGGAGAAGCTGGCTAGGGCAGCCCAGGCCAGCACCTAACCTGTCCCCGAAGTGGTCCCCTCAGTGGGGTCGGGGGAGGGCAGGCAACCCAGAGTGAGTCCATCAGCTTAGAGGGTCCAAGAAGAACCTGCGTGCCTACCAGGCTGTGGGGCGGGCCTCCTGGAGGCTGCGGCGTGGAACAGCTGGGACAGCCAGCGCTGGGTAAGGCGTGTGGAGGGGCTACCTGAGCTGAGGCCAGAGGGCCCAGCCTCTGAGGAAGGCTGAGGGGCAGATGGGATGCAGACTTCGAGGGCCACAAACAGGGGGCTAGAGCCTTCGGATTTGTCCTGGGGGCAGTGGGGGAGCCTTGGTGTGGGGGAGCCGCCTCTGAACACAGGAAGGACCAGATGAGGCCCCACACGGCTGGTTGCTACCAGCAGGGCCCATGAGCTCCTCCTGGGGCAGGAGGACCCTGGATCTTCTCCCTGTGACCCAGGCCCGCTCTCCACCCACAGAGCGCCTTCGGCCTCCAGGTGCCTTTCTTCTTCTTCGCGGCCATCTGCTTGGTGAGCCTGGTGTTCACAGGCTGCTGTGTGCCCGAGACCAAGGGACGGTCCCTGGAGCAGATCGAGTCCTTCTTCCGCACGGGGAGAAGGTCCTTCTTGCGCTAGGTCATGGTCCCCGCCTGGAGGGGGCCAAACCCCCAGTGGCTGGACCTGTGTTGGCTGCAATCCTGCACCCTGGGACCAAGAGGCAGCAGTCATCCCTGCCACCAGCCAGAGCACAGGAAGAGCAGCGTGATGGGGCCTCAGCAGCGCGTGCCCCTGGCTCCGGACAGGTAGCACTGCTGTCCAGCCGCAGCCCCAGCTCAGGCGGCCCGCACTGCTGCACGTAGCCATGGGCCGCAGGAGAGCACACAACCCTGCGTCCAGGGACACGGCCCTACTGGGTGACCTCAGACCTAGTCCTTTACCCTTGTGTGAAGGACACACCCCACAGAAGGCTACGGGGAGGACTGAGAGGACCGGGCTGGAGGCAGCCAAGTAACGTAGTCATATCATCGCGTTCTGATCTGGTGGCATCTGGCTGTGCAAGGAAGACCCGGCTGTGCCCCCCCAAGTCTTGTGGACACCACAGGGAACATCCTGGACTTCAAAAGCCAGGGCAGGCCAGGCGCAGTGGCTCATGCCTGTAATCCCAGCACTTTTGGAGGCCGAAGCAGGCAGATTACCTGAGGCCACGAGTTCAAGACCAGCCTGGCCAACATGGTAAAACCCCGTCTCTACTAACAAATACAAAAAAGCCAGGTGTGGTGGCGTACACCTGTAGTTCCAGCTGCTTGGGAGGCTGAGGCAGAATTGCTTGAACCCGGGAGGTGGAGGCTGCAATGAGCTGAGATCATGCCATTGCACTCCAGCCTGGGCAACGGGAGTGAAACTCCGTTTCCCCTGCCCCCCCTTCAAAAAAAAAAAAAAAGCCAGGGCAAAGGACCTGGCGTGGCCACTTCCTCCTGCCCCAGCCCAACCTCTGGGAACAGGCAGCTCCTATCCGCAAACTGTGTTCACCCTTTTATAAAAATAAAGGAACTGGGCCCATAGCCCTAGCAAGGAAAGAGTGGGGTCTACTCCAGGACGGGAGCCCCCACAGCAGCCAGGCTAGACCCGAACCAAGCAAGGTTGCCAGGGCCACTGACTGCTGATCCACAGCCAAGCAGGGCAGAGAAGAGGCTGCTGTGAGGGGAAGTCCACAGCGAGCCCCGCCCTTAACAGTCTCCTCTTTCTAACTGTGTGACCTTGGGCAGGTCACTTTCCTTGTCTGTGATGCCAGAGGCAGCCTCGGGACAGGACCTGTAGTTATTTCCTGGGCCAGCGGCTCCTGCCTGGCTTCCACACACACACACAGGCACCAAAGCAGAAGGGAGTGAGGACAGGCACGCGAGCCACGGCCGCGCTTTATTGCTCAAGACACACACACAACACAGAGGTGCAGACGAGGGGGAAAGAGCGCCACACACAGCCCAGACAAGGCAGGAGTGGCCCGGCCGCTGGAAGAGACGCTCCTTGCAAGGCAGGGCCCCTGCTGGACAGCGCACTCCCTGGGAGACAGGGTCAGAGGCCCCAGGTCCGCACAGCTGCAGACTTGCTGGGAACCTGGGACAGGTGACCCGCCCGCTCTGGCCTGTGGCTGAGGGCCTTCCACCTCTGCATCCAGCTGTGCACCCACCATTTCCCCACAGGGCACAGGGGCAGCCTTCCTTGATCCACAGCCCACCCTTCTGCTGTCTCTGGCTGTCACTGAGGCCCCTCTGGCAGGGGCAGCAGCAGGCAGGCCAGGCAGAAGGGGGCCTGGGGCCCCACTACCTGGGTAGGAATGAGCAGAGGGCGGGCAGAGCCCTTGCTTCTCGTGGGAGGTAGACAGGTCTCGCTCACTGCATACATGGGACAAATGCGTGCACGCGCACACATACATATACACACACACACACACATAGCCCTTTGAACCCAGCACTGGCCTGAGGAGAGTGGCCCCGGAGGAACCCTGAAGGCACGTGTCCACCAGGCTGTAATGCCCCTGCCACCCTGGGGCTCAGCTGGCCAGACTCCCGGGGGTGGGGTGCTGCTGCCCCAGGAGCCCACAGACAAGTCCCCAGGGCAGTACTGGGCAGGACCCAAAGAACCCCACACCCAGCCCACCAGCCTGCCACTCCCAGCCTCAGACGCAGATGGGCCCAAGAGGTGTTCCTGGGAAACAGTCCACTTAGCAAGACCCAGTACCTCTGCTCCTGAAGCTCAGCACAGGCCCAGCCTGGGGTCGGACCCAGATGGAATATCTTCCATACCCTTCCGCTTCTGCCAAGCCCCACCCGGGCTAAGCCAGGCCCGACCAGGCACCTGCCCGACGGCCAAGAGCCAGCCTCACAGTCAGAGAGGCCAGCGGGCTGAGGCCACGGGGCAGAGGGAATATGGGGATACACTTCCTGGGCGCCAGCTCTCCGTGTCCTCCCTGGGTAGGCCTGGCTCCAGATGGCCTGGCACCCAGGGCAGTGAGGACGGCTCTGTGTGGGGAGGTGACTGTGGCCTCTGCCCAGTTCTTAAAAGGCAGAAGCTCCCTGAGGGCAGGGCTTGGGCAGGCCGGCAGGAGAACCTGAGTGGGTGCTGAGGTCAGACCCACTGACCCACTAACGGGGCCAGGCTGCGGCTGACATGATGGGGCCACACCAGGGAGAGGGTGGGCACCCTCAGTGAGGCCAGGGAGAGCCTGCTTTCCCCACTTCCTTAGCACCAAGGCCAGCGGGGGAGGGTGGTGATGGGCAGAACCTAGGGGCCTTAGCAGGCCCAGGGAGCAGGGGCAGCTGAGGGGTCTTGGGGTGGCCTGTCCAAGGTTCCAGGAGTCGGCAGGGAGCATCCCCCACCCAGCTGTCCGGTCACTGCCGAGGCTGCAGTTCCAGGTACAGGGATGCACCTTAGGGGCCCTATGGGCTTCTTGAGAAGGCGGGGTGGCAGTGGGCGCTGCACCCTAAGCAGTGGTGGGAGGTTGCTGGCAGTGGCAGGCTGTCCTGGACCCTGGGGCTCTACCTGCCGAGAGAGCTGGGGGAGGTCCCTCTGCTCAGTGCCCAGGTGGCAGGGTCCCACTTGCACCTCCCCTCAAGCCAGGACCAGCATCTCCAGGGGAAGCTGCTGCCAGGTCACAGCAGGTCACTGGCAGCCCTGTCTGTGGTGTGAGGTCTGCAGACCCACCCAGCGGAGGAGCAAGGCCAGCTGGTGTCCACACAGCTGCTGCAGGCTCTGCTCGGCTCTGCCTCAAGCCCAGCAGCCCAGACTCTCACACCAGCAGCCAGGGGCTCCTGGCTTCAGCAAGTCTGGAGAAAGGAGCAGAGGACTGCAGGTGTAGGGGCAGGTGCAGAAGCCCCTCTCCAGGCTGTGCCTCAGTGTGGACAGTCCAGGCCTCACTTGGACTCACACAGAGCCAGAGGAGGGGGCAGGGAGGGAGGGGTGCCCAGCCCTTCACAGCTACCCCTCCAGGGTCTCCGCGAGCTTCTCCTCATCTGCCTGCTGCCTCTGCTGCTGGATCCTAGCGTAGGAGATCGCATCGCCCCTGGGGAGAGAGAGAGGCAGCGTCACGTGGAGCGCCAGCCCCACGCCCACAGCCCTCCTGACTACTGCCCGGTTCCTGCCCTGTGACCCAAGTGTGACCTGCAGGCATTCTGATTTCCCCAGAGACAACTGCTGGGGTGGCAAAGGCCTGTCTTGTCCCCTCTGAGAGTGGCCCAGGCTTCTTGGGATGCTGGGCTGAGAAGGAACCAGCCTCAGTCTGGGCTCTGCAGGAGAGGGTGGCAACTGACTACAATGCCCAGTGCAGACCCGGGAGGGGAAGGGGCTCCCACCAGTCATATGTTTGCTATCCTTGCTGCAGGCCGTGACCGGGCAAGACTGGGCCACGCAGAAGTGTTGTGAATCCTCTGTCTTCACCTGCTAGAGCTGAGCCCTGGAGGCACCGATGAGTCACTGGGGCCTCTGCCTCAGTCTCCACTGGCTAAAAGGAGCCACTCTCAGACCCTCCTCACTGAGGAACTTCGGTAGGGGAGGCGGCGGGGGGAAGGAAGGCCCTGCCCAGGGGCTGGGCCCAGCAGACGCACTTTTTGCCCAGAGCAGAGAGTCCGTACAGCACCCCCGTGGCAAAGGCGATGGCGTTGCCCAGCAGCGTGGTCAGGGTCAGGCTGATGACGATGGGAACAACCGCCATCCTGGGGGGGAAGCAGAGGTCAAGGGGGGCACTCTGGCCCCACAGCCACCACATCCTTCCCTGCTTCCCAGACTTGGCCCAGCCCCCTTTCTAGACACCCAGGGCACAGGAAGGATCCCAAAAAATCAACTGAGACACAGCTTCAGAAAGTCCTTGATCGGCCCTGAACTTGTCTGTAAAACTGTTCCATTCTGGGAGTAGGATCCAACGCTTTCATCAGATTTTTGAAGGGGTCTGTGGTCCCAAAAAGGGCTAAACAGTAACGAGATGGTCCAGTGCCCTCGCTGTGACAGAAAGAGGTTGTGACAGAGAATCTGGCTTCCCATCCAGGCCCTACTAGCTTTGCGGGCAAGTTACTCAAAATCTCCACCGTGGAGAGGGGATCAAACTTTGTCTGAGGTCAGGCATGTTAACTACACAATGCTGAACACCACAGGCACTAAATAAATGCACTGAGTCATAGAGTAACACCAGCCACATCGCCACAAGTAAGGTCCCCAGAATTCAACCACATGGAACACAGGGTCTCATCATGGGAGGGTCTCATCATGGGAGGGCTGCAGGCTGCGGGGTCCGCAGGGTCAGCCTCGATCTTGCTGCTGTTTGGCGTCACCTGGTGGCAGGGTCCACTGGGGCGTAAGCATCCCCGGGGCTGATTCTCCATCCTGGCGGGAATTTCCAGGCCAGCAGCAATTCCTGGGCTAACTGGGCCAGGAGGATACCTGCAGGTTGGAGACCAGCGCTCTGTCCTGTCGCCTCCCTAGAGGAGGCTGCCTGTGCGGGAGGACGAGACTCATGGCCCACTGCATTCTACCTGAATGTCCATTCTTGTAGACATGTGGTTGTGAGATTTTTCTGTCATTAAAAAACTTCCAAATGATAAAATAAGAATAGAAATTGGCAAGAAAAAGAAAGACCACGGCGGGGAACCTTCTGACAAAAACAAAATTAAAGGTAAACAACAGGCTGGAAAAATCGTTGCAGGAAATACAACCAAGGATCATTGAATCTTTAATACAGAAAAACACACTGAACTTGCGAAGCAGAACACCGAGGTTCCCACAGGTTAAAAAGGAAACTTGAAAATTTTCAAATCAGCAAATGCACTGGGAACATGCGGGAAACTATTTTTCCTCTTAGATAACGAATAGATAAATGCAAATGTGAAGTGGTGCGCAACCCTGGGCAGGGGTGCGGGCGGGGGAGAGACTCAAGGGACCTCTTTGGAAAGCAACATAGCCACGCGTCTTAAAATATTTTTAATGATCAGAATCCTTGACCCAGTAATTCCACACCTGAAAATAGATCTTAAGGAAATCATCATAAACACAGAAAAAGTTTTAGCAGACAGATGTTTATCACAGCTTGAGTTACACCAGTTAAGAAATGAAGAAAATCATCCAGCTGAACGAACACTGCTGTATTGAAAGAATGTTATAAAATCTGTGGCGATGTTAAAATGCTTGTATCATGACACTACGTGAAAAAAGCAGGATACAAACTTATTCGTAATGGTTATAACTGTGTTAAGAGCAGGCTTTTAAAAAATGCCTGCGGACAGGAAGCACACACATCAGAAGATTAGCAGGCAGTGAGCTTCCAGTAACATTGTTCTATTTTCCAAATTATTATTAATGAATTTCTATTATGGCTAGCATTTTTATTTTTTTTTTTTTTTTTTTTTTTTTTTAGACGGAGTCTCGCGCTGTCGCCCAGGCTGGAGTGCAGTGGCCCGATCTCAGCTCACTGCAAGCTCCGCCTCCTGGGTTCACGCCATTCTCCTGCCTCAGCTTCCCGAGTAGCTGGGACTACAGGCGCTGCCACTTCGCCCGGCTATTTTTTGTATTTCTTAGTAGAGACGGGGTTTCACCGTGTTAGCCAGGATGGTCTCGATCTCCTGACCTCGTGATCCGCCCATCTCGGCCTCCCAAAGTGCTGGGATTACAGGCTTGAGCCACCGCGCCCGGCCTAGCATTTTTAAAATACAGTTTTTTAAACCCCTAGCAACATGACACTGCGTGTAGATAAGAGCTTTGTGATCCTGTGTCCTTCGTGACTTAGATACGGCAGGAGATGGCTCCACAAGTAAGCATGTGGCTTGCGCTCTTACCATCAAAACTACCAGGCCTCTCTGAAGGGAAAGCAAGCTTGCATCTAGACTTCTTTCTAAAGAGAACCTAGACAATAATCAATACTGTTGCCGCCAGCCTCCTATGCACTGGAGGCATTATTCTAGGAGCTTCCATGCATTAAACTTATCCTGAAATTAGTTCCACCCTATGACTCAGAGAAGTATTACATATTGATTTCATTGTTAGAAATGGGAAAATTTTGAACAAGCGTATTTAGAGGACAACCACATTTTCTGCTCTGCAACCTGCTTCTCCCCTTTCACGCCAGGACATCTAGATGAACCCACTCTTCGCAAAGGCTGCAGAGAAGCATGTCCTACAGACCTACTATCATCTGGTTAACAACTCCCAGTGGACGGACCAAAATTCCAGACGCTTCCCATTTCTCTCAACTGCACGGAATGCTGCCACACATGCTCATATACCTCTGAACCTTCCAGTGATTACAGCACGGCGACAGCTGAGTTCCCGCGTGCAGAACCGCTGGGGCATGTTTTGGCAGCTATCAGCAAATCACTGTGCACAAAGGCAATCCCGGTTTACACTTCTACAGAGAGGAACTGAATACACTGCCCACCCTCACCTGACTGTTGGGTCCTATTTTGTCAGTGGGGTTTTGGGGAACTGTGTCACAGGACCCCGCCCAGTAGCCCCTCACCCGCAGTAGAAGACAGCCTTCTGCCAGGAGCGCAGCCGGTCCACCTTCTCCGCCACCGTGTTTGCAAACTCGATGAACTGGCAGCAGAAGGGCGCCTCGCACAGCAACAAGATGAAGGCATTCATGCTGCAGGGACCAGGGCAGGAGAAAAGCAGCAACTGACAATCCCAGGAAGATGAGGGCGGCCCCCAGTGCCAGTGCCATAAGGAATGCCACCTCTCTCACCCTCCTGCCCTCATCCCTCCTCCTCTGGGAAGCTGCCCGGCTGCTCCAGGGCACCTGCTTGTACCCCTTGAAAAGCCTCTGCTGAAGACTCCAGCCCTCCCCAGCTGCCCCTGCACCCATCTCCCCAGCTGAACTGAACACTCCTAGAGGGAAGCCCCTGGGCTTCAGCTGCCCTTTCTCCTCCTCCTGTGGGAGAGGGAGGAAAGAGGACCCCACATCATGGCACTGCTATAACACTGCAGCGGGTTCATCCACAGATGGAGCACTGGCAGCTGTGTCCTCTGTCTGCTGTTAGTATTATCGCCATGGCCATCAAGAGCTGTCAGTGGCACCAGCACCAGGAAGGCTGCCCCACCAGGGAGGCAGAGAGCTGGAGCCATGCAGTCCCGAAACAGTCACGGAGAGCTGCCCACACACCCGATGCCACTGGCCCCAGGCCCAGGGACACCCAGGGGAAGCCCACACTGGGGAGGAAGAACTTTAGCAAGTCCTTGTGTCCAGCCCCGTGTTTGAGGTGGGAACAGCTATGCCACTGGTGATGGACGGTGTCTGCTGTGGTCATGGTATTCTCTATGCGTGGGTAACAATCAGTTAGTTACCAGACACTGGGCCAGGCCCTTCTGTCTGTCCCCACACCTGGGAGAAAAGTGCCATCATTATGCCTGTGTAACAGAAATGCAGGCTCAGGACACCCAAGAGCCACCCCGAGCCCAGGGCAGGCACTCTCTTTGCGACTCTTAACCACTGCACCCCGCCCCAAGCCTCCCACACACCAGGCCTCCAAGCACTGGCTCACTCTGTGCTGGGCCAGCCCGTTCCACTTCAAACTCGGCCAGGCTCCGACTCCACCCCCTGAAGCGGGGGCAGGCGCCTCTCTGTCCATCCCCTTTCCCTATCCACCACTGGCCAGCACAGGCGCTGGGGACCCCGCCACAGCAGGCCCCCGAGGCTCTCCACTGGCCATAGGTCACTGAGGACGGGATCTGAATCGCGTCCAACTCTGTGCCCCTCAAGGCACCAAGCCCCACGAGGACAGTCAATTCCTGGTCACAGCCACTTCTCATGTGCCTCAAGTCGCACGGGCCTGCCCTCACCCCACCTTCCCTTCTGACGGGATGGCGCCACCCTGGCAGGAGGTGGGCATGGAACGCACATGAGGGTGTTCTGACCGCGGGTTCCCGTGACAACTCCGACCCGCCTTTCCCATCTATCTTTAGCACAGCTCCGAGTTAGAGCGTCCTCTCCCAGCGGACCATCCAACCCAGTCCTCAGCCAGCCCCAACAAACGGCCTTCCCCACTCCAGTCCTGGGAGCTTCCAGAGGGCGAGGGCCCCAGTGTAGTGGACTTGGTATCTGCAGTCTCAGCGGATGCTCCAGAAATGTCTGGACCACTGATGGCCTCGCCCCTGCACCGGATGAAGGCCAGGGTGGGCGTTCCCTGGGCCCTGACCTCTCATTAGGAAACCAAACGTGGTGGGGATATGAAGGGGAAGAAGCCCCATGCTGTGGCCAGAAACCCACAAGCCCTGAGGCGCCCAGGCTGGAGCCAGTAACCATGGCAACCACGAGGATGCCCGCTCCCACGGCCCCTGCCACTCCTCTGCCCCAGGAGGTGCCCCACAGACTCCCGACCAGCGAGACCCCTGGGGCGGGACAGCCATGTGCTACTCACATCATCCACACGCCGGCCGCAATGTTCAGAGGGTGGATGGTGATGCAGTTGAAGAGGCCAGAGATCGCACAAGCTTGAAACAAGAGAGACGGGCAGGAGTCAGCAAGGAGTCAGGGGGAGCCCGCTGGGATGGCAGCCTCGGGAGATGACTGGAAAGGACGAGAGTCTCTGCGGATGCTCAGCACACAGTTCTCACAGCACCCAGAAGCCTGCCCTCTATCATCTGAGATAGGTGAGGAGATGCAGAGAGGTGCAGCGGCTTGCCCCAGGCCCCACAGCAAGGTGGCAGCAAGGTGGCAGGTGGATCTCACGGCACCCTCTCTCCGCTCCAGGGCTCAGAGGAGCTGGCCCTTTGACCCCAGCTACATCAATATCCACCTCAAAGGGAGGTTAGGATTAAAGGAGGATTAAAGAGAGAATGTCCCTCAAGGATTCAGGCCAGTGCTCTCCCAAGACTCAGCCTTTGGCAAGGGTCACTTGTCACCATTCACAGGGCCAGCCACACAGGAAGTCCTCTGACTCAGAAAATGTGGCTTGGATTTTGGTTGGGACAACGGGTGCCTCTCTCAGAACAGAGATGGGAACCAGGTAAGACCGAGCAGCAGTTCCAGCTCTAACTTCCTCATCAGCCCTGTGCTGCTGGTATGCTATCTTCATCTGCCGAGGTCCATTTCTCCTCTTGCATGTGAGCAAGTCCCACAGCCCAGCCACACACCGCTGAAATGCCATGAGGCCAGGAAGGGGAGGGGGCGTCTTCCTCCAGCCCAGAGCGTGGCTTCTCTGATGCCCAGATGTGCAGCCTTGCCTCCCCGCCTCCCTGCTGCACCTCACCAGCAGGGTCTCTTGCACCCAACTCCCTCCTCTACCCACAGCCTGCAGCCCGGCTTCACCAGGAACTCCAGGAGCCTTCAAGGAGGGTCCAGGGAGCTGGCTGCTGGGCAGGGAGCAAGCCCAGGCCATCGCTGAGCGGGGGCCGTGGAGGCAGCAATTAGCAACCAGCTCATTAAACTTGCAGCAGCTCCTCTGCACCTGATCCCTCCACCTGGGTCTGGAATTCTGCCGTTTTCCATTTTCCCAGGTAACCTTATGCAGACAGCAGGCAAGGAAGCCAGATAAAGTGAGCCGAACTGCAGTGGGACTGCTTCGTGGGCCCCCAGGGTCTCCTTCTAAAACAAAGGACTCAAGCGTTGCACTGCTCCTCAGCACAGCCTTAGACATCTGCCTTCAGACAGCAAGGGGTTCCAGAACCACAGGTGCAAAGGGGCCTGCCTGCCCCAGCAGAGTGCCCAAAGGGCGACACGGCTCCCTGCCTCTCCGCTGTGCCTGGCCTCACCTGACAGCTCGGCTGTGCTTCCTGCTGCAGTCAGCATTTGGCCTCCGGCTCCAACCCTACCCCAGCTGTCCAACCCACAGCCAGCCTTGGGGGAGGACCAGGTGTCAACCCAGACCAGCAGGCTCCAGCCAGGAATCCTTTAGCAATAAAGGGCTGGAGGATGTCCACTTGGGGACCTCAATGCTGATATCTTCCACGTGAGGGGGCTGTCACCATACAATCCTGTCCCCTCCCAAGATATCACCTCCAGATGCTCTCAGGACCCAGGGTAGACCCTCTCCAGCTCCTCTCTCTGATCCCCTCACCCTGGAGGAGGAAAACCTTACCCCAAGGACCAGCCAGGCACACAACCCTTGTGTGAATTCCTGCTGCATCTCTAAAACACGCTGCATTTTTGCATTCTACCCTGGAATACAGCATTTAATATTCACAGAACCGTGCCCCCAAAATTCTGCAGATGCAACTGACAACTCAGGGCAATGCCACAGGTTTCTCCTGAAGCTTCATCTGTAGACCCAACAGAGCCCCAGGTACTCCCGGGAAAGGCACAGGCACCTCACTTTGAGAGAGACAGAACTGAATAAGACTCCAGGGCTAATCTGTGAGTCGGCAGGGTCACTGACCAAGAAGGAAGGAGGTGTGGCCTACAGGCCACAGTCAGCACCTTTCCTTTCTCACCACTAACCATGTCACCCCTCTGCACTGCTCAACCTAATCTGCGGGGAAAACAGCTAACCAGACATGAGAGGACTGGAACCAATGCCTAACTTCAAGCCCACCAGTCTCTCCTACAAAGTCAAAAGTGTACTTGCCCTGAAGAGCAGTGGCACAAACCTGGGGCCTCTTTGTGATTTGGGGGTAGGGCCTGCCCTACTGTATCCAGTTGCCTCCGGATAAGGGCATGCCTAGCAAGGGCAGCACACTCCTAGCCCCGCACCCTCCTGCCTCAACATCCCTCCACCCTCAACCTCCTTCCACCCTCCACCCACCTGGAAAGGCTGTGGAACCTAAGGTGAAAAGATGGTCATTCTGGCAGGAGAGTTGATGGGGTCTGCCCTGCCCAGGCCCAGATTTAGCCCTCTGTGCCAGTGTTTAAACCCTGCAGACATCCTCGACAGACATTCTATAAGACCTTGCCCACTCCAGTAATTCACAAGGTTGAGGGCAGACAGGAAAGGAAAGGATATCATTCAGACAGACTTGTCTTTCCCTGGAAGGCCAGCTGTACAGCTTCCATTCACTCCTGGAGCAGACCTGCCTCCCTCTTTGTTCTTTTCTGGCTGCGCCTAAGAGCCTAGCTTCCCTGGGAGCCTAAGGTCAGGGTCTGTGCCTGGGATGCGTACGGAGAAGGGGAGGAGGGCCGGTGATAGGCGGCTAAGGCAGCAGCAACGGGGGAGAGCTGACACTGGACGGAGGACCCAGGGAGAGGCCCGGCCCTCAGCTCACTGTCCCGCGGCCCCCGGGGGCCACCTATGCCCTGATACCACCTGACCCTCAGCAAACTTCCGCCCGGTGGCTTCCTGCCAGAAATCTAGCTAGCTGTGCACCCGCCTCCCTTATAAACAATCCTCGCCCAAAGGTTAGCAACGTGGCTGCCGTCACCTACGCCCAAGTCAACAGTTGACGCTTACTACGGGTCAGGTGGGCATGCGCTCCGTGAGCATCACTGAGAAAGTCTCACAAAAGCCCCTGGGGGGCGAGGGAAGGGCTCAGTCACGTGCCCCAGGCCGGTGCCCCCCGCCCTGGGGTTTCTGGTCCCTCGGGGAATGTTCCCAGAAGCGCTAGCCCAGCTCAGGGTACCAAGGCGCCCAGGCCCGAACCGGTAACCATGGTAACCATGGTAACCCCGGGACGCCGGCTACCCTGCCACTCCTCCGCCCCGGGAGGCGCCCGGCAGGCCCCCGACCCCCAGCGGGTCCTTTCCCCTGGGGCCGCCGGGGCGGGGCGGGGCGGGGCGGGGCGGGGCGCGCATGCGCGGAGGGGCCGGCCCCCTCTCCCGGACCGGGTACTCACAGACTGCCCCCAGCACCCCGGACAGGCGACACAGCCAGCGGTACCACCACGTCATGCCCTCTTCCTGCGCGGGCGGCGCAGAGCTGGCGGACGCCGCGGGCACCCCACCTGAGCCGCTCATGGTGCCGCCGTCAGGCGCAGCTCACAGCCCTCACAAAGGGCTCGGTAGCCGGCCGCGTCCGAACCGGCGCGCTGCCTTGTGGGAAAGGGAGCATATTAGCATAGGGGGCGGGGCTTTCAGGCTGCGGCGAGGTGTGCCCGGGGGGAGGCGGGTGCTCATTAGCATAGGGAGCGAGACCCTCAGGCCGCGGCTAGGTGAGCTCGAGGGGTGGCAGGTGCTCATTATTGTAGGGCGCGGGACCCGCAGGCTGCGGCGAGGTGCTGCGCGGCGGCGGGGAGCTCGTTAGCATACGGGGCGGGGCTCGCAGGCATCGGAGGGGTGCGCCCGAGGGGGGCGGGCGTCATTAGCACAGGGGGCGGAGGCCCGCAGTTTGCGGAGACTTGCTCCTGAAGGAGGCGGGCACTCATTAGCATAGGGGGCGGGGTTTGGCGGCGCGCGGACACCTTAGGGGTCAGACCCTCACACCAGGACACAAGGGTGGGCCTTCGCAGGGAGCTGGCAAATGCGCCAGCCTCGGAGTGGAATCCTGATTGGCTTTTCTTCCTGGATAGGAAGAAGATAACTAGGGATGTCCAGCGGCTTGCGCAGATCAAGATAGAGCCAAGCGGGGCCAGCGAATCCCTGCCTTGCCATGGGATGGGTGTTCAAGCCAGGTCTGGACAGCTTATAAGAAAAAACCGCCGGTCAGTCTGCATGTTTTATTTATTGGTACCCGAGGAAATGGGGGCTGCCTTTCCCTTCCAGAATCCCCACCTCCAACCCCCTAGCCTTTTGGACATTGGAGAAGACTCTAAAGTAGATACCTAAGATTGGAAAAAGTTCGAATTGGAAAGCACTGAGACCAGAGGTCAACCCTCCAGGGCTGGCCAGACACGTAACAAATGTTCATTGACCGTCAGGTCCCTTCCTTTCCCTTCCAGGACTGAGGGTCCTGCCCCTCCGGTACCCATGATTGGAGGGTCCAGTACTGGCCCCGCAGGCTGGCCTGAGCCTTAAGGAAGTCCTCGCTGAACTCCATCTCAGCCTGGCTGCTCTCTGACTCCCAGTAGAGCACCTGCTGCCCATGGAATGTTGTGGTCCTCAAGCTGTGGATGTCCCGGATCTGAGAGAAAAGGGGCAGCCCAGAAGGACCGGCCATAAGTGATAATTAGCACTCACATTAATTAGCCCTTAATGTGCAGGGGCTCACAGATTCCGGATCACATTTAATGCTTACAAAGCCCTCCTAGGAGTACGCTGTTACTCTACCCAGAAAACTGAGCTCCAGGGAAGTTACATCACTTCCCCGAGGACACACAGTCAGGGTGCCAGAGCAGGGCCAGGCTGCCTCGTCTGGGGAAGCTGATACCCTGCAGAACACAGTTCTCCCAGGACACAGGAAACCTTGGGGAGGGTGCAGGGTGCTCCTCTGTCCAAGTCATATCAGACTGTAAAATTATGCTTCAGTCCTGGGTTAGCTGTCAGTCTACATCAGAAAGGTCTTTACCATTCTTTATCATTTGCTTTTTTTTTTTTTTCTTTTTTGAGACAAAGTCTCACTCTGTTGCCCAGGCTGGAGTGCAGTGGTGCGATCTGGGTTCACTGCAACCTCCACCTCCTGGGTTCAAGTGATTCTTGTGCCTAAGCCTCCCTAGTAGCTAGGATTACAAGCACACGCCACCACGCCTGGCTACTTTTTGTATTTTTAGTAGAGACAGGGTTTCATCATGTTGGCCAGGCTGGTCTCGAACTCCTGACCTCAAGTGATCTGCCCTCCTCGGCCTCCCAAAGTGCTGGGATTACAGGTGTGAGCCACTATTTCACTCTTGTAGGTAGCTCAAAAAACATTTCTTGGTGAATATGTGGAGGAAGCACTCTTCTCCCATTCTTTCACTAATGATTTGGAGGGTTTGAGTCTGAAATAAACTGAAGGGGGTCCCCTAGTCCTGCCCCCGCTAGGGAAAGCTGTCCAGAATCACAGCACAAGTCCCCATGCTGGGCCTCACCGAGATGTAGCTGGCATTGGCTCCCTTGGTCCCATTGTCCACGTCGGTGACCAGGGCATGGATGGCAATCCGGGCGTGCGGAGCCACATTAATGAAGAGCCGGCAGCCCCCTGCCTTACTCGTGGCTGGACTCAGCGAGGGGCTCATGATTTCACCCCAGGGCCCAAAGAGCTGTATGTCACATTCTGCAGGGGGAGCAAGTGGGACATAGAAACCCAGACAGACCACTGATGCCACAGGCCAGAGCAACTCACAGCCGGGAAGCAGTGCAGGGCAGCATGGCACTGTGGTCAAAATTGGGGTTCCCAGGCAAACCCTGCTGAACCCCACCTCTACCACTTCTTGGCCCAGTGACTTTGGGCAAAGGCTAAATGTTCTGGGCTCTGGTTCCCTCCTCTGCAACTGAAGGAAACAATGGCATGCACTGAGCAGAGTGATCTTTCGGACTCAATGATGTCACATGTGCAAGAGTGTTTCACACTGAACCTGGCACCAAGGATAGGCTCCACCCATGGCAGCCACTGCTGTTCCTCGGAGCTCACTGGAGCTGCCACCTGCCTGTACCTCCTGCACCTCTTTCAAGGCAAGTGCCTGTGTGGGTGGGGCTGGGCCGGGAAGTAAGAAGCAATGTGAATGGTGACAGTGGGCTCATGGCCTTTTGGCAGGACCCAGCAGCACCTGTGCGCTGAGGCACATACACAGCTCTCTGCTCAGGCAGGTGCTGGGGCAAGGAGGAGGTGCACTAGGTCTCTGCAGAGGCTAAGCCCACTGCCGCTAAGCCCCTGACACCTGGGGGAGCCGAGGAACCTCTGGAACCGGCTAGGGAAGCCGACTTTGGCCAGCTCGGACTGCTGGGAGAGGGCAAGTGCCCCAGGACAACCGAGAGGGCTATCAGAGGGCATCTAGGGGGCCATGGGCAAGGCAGGGGTCCCTGAGGTGGCATCCTCTGTCTGAGGTGTGCTTGTGGGTGCACACGCATGTACAAGCATGTGTGCTCACACCAGTGCACTAGAACAGGGCCGAGGGACAGTGGCTCTCACAAAAACCCTAAAGGGCCTTGAAAGGCTGGAGGGTTGGGGGCGGGGCGGGTGGGTGTGGGGCAGAGGCCTGAGGGACTGACTGAGGATGTGGACCACATCCCACATCCATCCATCTTGCTGCACAGTCCCAAAGAGGAGGGATGTAGCACTCATCCTGCGACCTCTCCCTGGCATGTACAGGCTGACACTGGCCAAGCCCAGCTCCTTCCATCTCAGTCAGCTCCCTCTGTATCTTCCCACTACCCCACTGGGACTGGCCCCATCCCCAGCAGCACCCACCCAGCCTCCTTGCCAGGACCGGAGCACCCAGGGGAGGTGGAGAAGGCCTGGCCATACCTCTGTAGAAGGTTTCAGGAGCAAGCTGGCTCCCATACCGCAGCAGCACCCCGGCTCCCGGCTGCCTGCAGCGCTGCCTCACCACCAGCGTGTTGGTCTTAGAGCTGAAAGTCATGCCCAATAGCTTCCTGCACATCTTCCTCCAGGTGAGCCGGCCCCAAAGCAACAACATGTCCCCTAGGAAGCGGCAGGGCAGTGAGGGTCCAGCACTACCGTGCCTGGTCAGCAGAGGAGTGGCTCCGGGGTAGACTGAGCCGAGTTCAAGTCCCGCCTCTCCCACCGCTGGCTATGTGACTCTAAGTAACTGAGCACGTCACTTAATCTCTCCTAGCCTCAGTTTCCTCATCTGTAAAATGCAGATCATCACTCCCCAGTCATGAGATGGAATGCAAACTAAAGTTGGGAATGTACATGGGGCTCTTGCCAGGAACGGGGCATGCAGCGTCGTGCTGGCTCCTGGCAGGGGCCATAACTGGCAGCATCGCTTGCAGGGCCCTAGACATACCCGCACTGCAGTTGAGAGAACTCTCAAGGATGCGGAGGGTCACCACCTCCCCGAGGGGCCGCCCAATGGCCACTGCACAGTCTGCCTGCCCTGGTCCTCGCATGTCAATGGTTCCTGTTGGCTCAAGGTGCTGCCTGCCACAGGCACCTGAAAAGGGAGCAGGAGACAGGTGAGCAGTACTTCCGGGATTTCCAGCAGGGCAGGCTCCGGGGTTTCCAAGCTGAGGAAGGAGACCAGGAGGTAGGGGTGGATCCTGTCCCCCAAGGCCCAGCTGGAAGCCTTCTCAGGACAGGGACGGGGGCTAGGTAGGTCAAAGCATCACCCTCAGGGCACAGGGCTGCTTCCAGATGCTCCAGCAAGCAGGGGCACATGCAGAGCAGCCCAGAGGCTAGGGGGCTCACAAGCTGGGTTCCTAACTTCAAGTTACTTCCCCTTAATAGTAGTAAAAGGGAGGTTTTGCTTTGCCAGGGAGGAAGAGGTCCAGCCCTGATCCTGGCCTCCCAGGCACACATCCCAGGGACCAAGCTCTTGTGCCAGTCCTTCCCAGAGGGAGACGCCTTTGCCCACCCCTCCTACAGCAGCTGCCCGACAGGAAGGAGGACAGGACGTAACTGGACTGCGCCGAGCTTTCCTGGGGCCCGGGCAGGAGCCGCCGAGGCTGGGGAGCCGGGGAGAAGAGCAGGGCCGGGGCCTGGGACCACTCCAGGGAGGCACCAGCAGGGGTGGCTGTGGTCTGTCCTGGAGCAGTGGCTTCTTCGTGAGGCATCAGGTTGGGCGTCCCCTGTCCCACACAGGGCCCAGCCCAGCAGCCACGCACAGTCACTGGCTTGGGCAAGTGCTGGCAGAAATCAGCCGGCACAGGTGCCTGGGCCTGGGGTCCGAGGCAGGTGTCATGCCGGCGCTGGATGCCATCCCCACAGGAAACAGAGCACTGCCAAGAGAGGGGAGGAGGAGTCACAGCTGACCCTGGCCAGAAAGTGACAAGGAAGTGGTAACTACAGGCCAGGAGTGATCCAATATAATCTTTGTACAAGCTGGGAGGCAGGTAAGTGTCTCCATTCCACAGATGAGAAAATTGAGGTTCAGAGAAGGCACCCAGCACAGGTCATGTAGGTGGGAGGAGCCAGAATTCAAGCCTGGGTCCCTGTCATCCTCATGGCCTCTCTCTCTCTCCAAGCCTTAGAGCAAGCAGGCCTGTGGGGCTGCGGCTCGTCTCTGTCTGCTGTGCCCCTGCGCCCTCCACACCATGAGCGAGCCCCTCCAGGGGCAGCCTGAGCCCCATTTACCATTGTCTTTCCTGCCCTGCCAGGTGCGTGGCACAGCTGGCATTCCCTTATCTGTATAGAGTTGAGTGGCCTGCTGTTCATCTTCCAGTGTCCCCAAACCTAAGAGCCTCTTAAGTCCTAGCTGCCCACAGGTCTCTAGGCCTTCTGTGTATCTGCCTCTAGGTGCCCCCTCACCAACAGACCCAGCTCTCTCCTTCCTTTCTGGGGACACAATGAACCAATGCCCCCTAGACTCCCTCACACATAAGCAGCCATAGCTGATGCCCGCCCCAGCCCCACAGGGATCCCAAGCGCCCGCTGTGCTCACCTCCGTCCAGGTGCCGACATACCAGCGGTAGGTGCAGTCAGCAATGAGACAGGGGACGCTGGCCTGGGGCCGCACCAGTGCCGCACAGGCCGCCTCGTCCACCTGCACGTCCTGGCCTTGGTCGAGCTGCACACAGGCCACCGAGCGCCTAGCAGTGCCAAGGCCACAGCTGGCCGAACATGGGCCAAGGGACATGACTTTCCACCTGCAGGAAGAGAAGACCCCAAAGAGAGGCTGGGTCTCCCCAGAAATGGTACTGCCCCACACGGGCCCCTCTCCACCCGCGTGTCCTCGAACAGTTGCCTAGACAGCTTCTATGGCCAGGCGAGATGGGAAGTGTAGCCACAGAGCCCCTCCTGTCTGGGGCCAGGGCTCACAGCCACAGGAGAGCTACCAAAAGGCCCTGGAGGAAAGAGGCTGCTTTTTCCCTAACTGCACATCCCCCTCTCATCGCCTTTCTCACAGAACACCTGTCAGCACCCCAGGGGCTGCCTATGGACCCAAGTAACAGCAACAGGAAGCGAGCCCCTGGGTAACAGGAGATAGATCTCACCACCCCACGTTCTACAAGGGGGAAGGCCGAGGACCTTAACCCTGCCCATGTTGATCTGTAATCATTCAGTAACTAATTATGGCCCGCGTTCTTCAGAGCCCAGACACGAACCCAGGCGCCTGCAAGGGAGCTGGGATCTTCATCACAACACTGTTCTCCCCCATGACGCTGCAGCACTGCCTCTTGGACCCGTGCTTTCTGTGGCCTGGTGCTGTTCTACATGACACTGGGAGGTGGCAGTGAACCAAACCAGACCCCACCGCCTCTCGGAGCATGGATTGTTCTCCATTTGGGCATCACTGGCATGAGCGACTGGATGCTGCTTTGCTGTGGGGGCTGTCGTGTGTATTGCAGAAATTTTATTTTTTAGTTTATTTTAATGGTTTTCTTTGAGACATGGTCTCATTCTGTCATCCAGGCTGGAGGGCAGTGGTGCAATCACGGCTCACTGCAGCCTCAGCCTCCAGGGTTCAAGCCATCCCCTCACCTCAGCCTCCCAAGTAGCTGAGACTACAAGCGTGTGCCATCATGCCCAGCTAATTTTTGTAATTTTTATTTGTTTGTTTTTGTTTTTGAGATGGAATCTCACTCTGTCGCCCAGGCTGGAGTGCAGTGGCACAATCTCAGCTCACTGCAAGCTCCGCCTCCTGGGTTCACGCCATTCTCCTGCCTCAGCCTCCCGAGTAGCTGGGACGACAGGCGCCCGCCACTACACCCGACAAATTCTTTGTATTTTTAGTAGAGACAGAGTTTCAGCATGTTAGCCAGAATGGTCTCAATCTTCTGACCTCATGATCTGCCCACCTTGGCCTCCCAAAGTGCTGGGATTACAGGCATTAGCCACTGCGCACGGCCAATTTTTGTATTTTTTGTAGAGACGGGGTTTCACTATGTTGCCCAGGCTGGTCTAGAACTCCTGGGCTCAAGCGATCCTCCCGCCTTGGCCTCCCAAAGTGCCAAGCAGAATGTCACAGGAGGGACGAGCGTGCCATTCTGGACCGATGCTCAGGGAGGGCTCTGGGTCATTCTGGAGTTGTGGTGTCTGAGCCGAGCCTGGGGGAGGGATATCCAGGGCCTCGAGGATATCCACAGAAGACATCAGGCAGTGAGAGCTAGTACAGAAGCCCTAAGTCGGGATTATCCCTGGAATGTTCCAGGACAGTGAGGCCAGAGTGGCTACAGCAACATCAGAGGGATAGCCAGAGCTCATGTGGTGTGTGCCTGCATCCCAGCTACTCAGGAGGCTGAAGCAGGAGAATCACTTGAGCCCAGGAGTTCAAGTCAGGACTGGGCAACATAGTGAGACCCCATCTCTGAAAAAAAGTGAGGGGAGGCTCAGTGGCCCAAGAGGCGGTCTGTAGAGAACAGGGCTACCTGGCAGGCTGTGCTAGGTGTGGGAGGTGAAGTTTAATCACCATGCAGGCAGCGTGCAGTGTGAAAAACCCTGCAATTCCCATAAAATCCAAGATCATCTCTAAATGTGATGTGGAAAAATAAATGGGACACACAGCCAAGGGACTTTAGCACAGGCAAAGAAATCAGGACACACTTGTGACTCGGATGTTAAATGGCTATAAAGCTACAACATTTAAAACAATTTTTTATGGGCAAGAGAATAGCTAGAAAAAAAACACACAAAACAAACAGCAACTGGCAGATCACTTGAGGTCAGGAGTTCAAGACCAGCCTGGCCAACAGAGTGAAGCCCTGTCTCTATTAAAAATACAAAATCAGTTGGGTGTGGTGGTGGGCACCTGTAATCCCAGCTGCTTGGGAGGCTGAGGCATGAAAATCACTTGAACCCAGGAGGCGGAGGTTGCAGTGAGCTGAGATTGCACCACTGCACCCCACCCTGGGTGACAGAGAAAAACTCTGTCTCAAAAAAAAAAAAAAAAAAAAAAGGAGGAGAAAAAAACCTAGTAGAAAGCCTAGACATAGATTCTAACATACACCAATACCACCGAGGAGCCACCTGGGGGCATCAGGGCTTGTTCAACAGATGCTGGTTAACAATTTAGAAAAAAAAAAAAAATCCCTCGGTCCCTACTTTGCAAACACATTAGTACACGGTTTAAATGTAAGTAAAAAAAAAATTTTTTTTTCTTTTTTGAGACAGGGTCTCACTCTGTTGCCTAGGCTGGAGTGCAGTGGTGGTATGATCTCTGCTCACTGCAGCCTTGACCTCCCAAGGCTCAGGGGATTCGGTGATTCTCCTGCCTCAGCCTCCTGAGTAGCTGGGAATACTGGCATGCACCACCATGCCCAAATTTTTGTATTTATAGTAGAGAAGAGGTTTTGGCATGTTGCCCAGGCTGGTCTCAAACTCCTGGGCTCAAATGATCCACCCACCTCAGCCTCCTAAAGTGCTGAGATTACAGGCATGAGCCACCACGTCCAGCCTAAATTTAAGTGAAATCTTATCTGTAACTGGATTTATTTAAAACTAAGGAGACTTGCTGGGTTCGATGGCTCATTCCTGTAATCCCAGCACTTTGGAATGCTGAGGTAGGCAGATCTCCTGAGGTCAGGAGTTCAAGATCAGCCTGACCAATATGGTAAACCCTGTCTCTACTAAAAATACAAAAATTAGCTGGGTGTGGTGGTGGGTGCCTTTATTCCCAGCTACTCGGGAGGCTGAGACAGGAGAATGGCTTGAACCTGGGAGATGGAGGTTGCAGTGAGGCAAGATTGCACCACTGCCTGGGCAACAAAGTGAGACTCCATCTCAAAATAAATAAATAAATAAATAAATAAATAAATAAATAGATAAATAAATAAATAAATAAAGTAAGTAAGTAAGTAGACAGGAAGGAAACATGGCAGTAGGGTGCTATCTATTAAACCTGAGTGCTGGAACACACATGTCCATTACATTCTTTTCTGCACGTTTCTATATGATGTAGAAAAGTACTTCTTTATTAAAAATGCAAACCTACAAATAGAAACCATTAAAGAATTGTAAATGAGGTAGGCAAATGTTCACCCTTTACCACTGGGCTCTGGACCTCACGGACTTGAACATGATTCTGTCCCGTGTCCTAGTGTGGCTGTGTGTGTCCCTGCAGGGTCCTCCATCCCTCCCGTCGTCCACATCAGAATGCTGGTGCCCACAGCTTCAGGTTCTGCTCAAATGCTGCCCCGTCTGTCCCCCAGGCCTCCCCACACCGCACCCTGCCTGCACGGTGCTTAAACTTCACCTCCCACACCTAGCACAGCCTGCCAGGTAGCCCTCTTCCTTACAGACTGGCTCTTGGGCCACTGAGCCCCCCACCCCATCTTGTTTTGTTTTGTTTTTGAGAGGGAGTCTCGCTGTGTTGCCCAGGCTGGAGTGCAGTAGCGCAATCTCAGTTCACTGCAACCTCCACCTCTCAGGTTCAAGCGATTCTCCTGCTGCCACCTCCCAAGTAGCTGGGATTACAGGTGTACACCACCACACCCGGCTAATTTCTTTTTGTTTGTTTGTTTGTTTTGTTTTTTGAGATGGAGTTTCACTGTTGTTGACCAGGCTGGAGTCCAGTGGTGTGATCTTGGCTCACCACAACCTTGGCCTCCCAGGTTCAAGCGATTCTCCTGCCTCAGCCTCCTGAGTAACTGCGATTACAGGCATGCACCACCACGCCTGGCTAATTTTGTATTTTTAGGAGAGTGGGGTTTCTCCATGTTGGTCAGGCTGGTCTCCAACTCCCGACCTCAGGTGGTCTGCCCGCCTCAGCCTCCCAAAATGCTGGGATTACAGGTGTGAGCCACCACACCCGGCCTAATTTTTGTATTTTTAGTAGAGCTAGGGTTTCACCATGTTGGCCCAGCTGGTCTCAAGCTCCTGACCTCAGGTAATCCACCCGCTTCGGCCTTCCATAGTGCTGGGATTACAGGCATGAGCCACCACACCTGGCCCCGTCTTGTTTTTTTTTTTAGAGATGAGGTCTCACTGTGTTGCCCAGGTTGGACTTGCGCTTCTGGACTCAAGTGATTCTCCTGATTCAGCTTTCCAAGTAGCTGCGATTATAGGCGCACACCACAGCACCTGGCCTGGCATCTGCACATACCAGGAGCTGCCCCTCCCGTCACCGGCTGACTCACCTAGGTGGGCAGGGCTCCAGGCTGCAGGCCTCCTGGGGTTCTGGGCGAGGCAGCCCCTGGCATTGGGTGTCCAACAGGATCTCCTCCTCATCATCCTCCCCATGGGCCCGGGCACAATACAGGATCCTCCGCATGACCCCTCCCCCACAGCTCACGCTGCAGGCCGCCAGCTTGTACTGCCACCTGGAGCAAACTGAAGTCGGGGACCCCAAACAGCCCCAGGGCGTGGGAACCCAGGGGAGTCAGGTCTCCCCCTTCCTTTCCCCAGACCAGGAAGAGACAGGAAGCTGGGAAGGGCCTGGAGAGGTTCTCTTTCTGGAGGCCCCCTTGTGTCCTCACCAAGAGGCTTGGCAGAGTGGACAGAACATTTGGACAAACCCATTTTACAGAAGGGAGAGGTGAGGGCAAACGACAGATGTCGTATCCCAGAGACAGTGGGGACAGGGGTCCAGGCACCCAAGGGCCCTGCATGTCTTTCTTGAACAGTGATCCCAGCACCACTGCCCTGCAGCCCACCTCGCTAGCTCTCCCCTCCTCCCCTCCTGCTGTGTTTGGCGGCATCACACTGAATACCATCCATCAAACTGCACTCCCCCTCTGTCCTACTATTATCTGTCCTCTTTTCCCCTCCATTTGTTCCAGGAGGTCAGGGATGTTTCTCTGCCTTGTTCTCTGCTGTGTCCCCCAGCTCCAGGACAGCCCCGGGGCTTAGGTGCTCCATAAAGAGCAGGTTATGAAGAAACATCCTAGCAACCACGTGTGCCCACAGCATCCCAGATCCTGTGCAATGTACTTTACACACATTGCATCTAGCATGCATTTTACACTCGTTGCATTTAGCATATACTTCACATGCATTTAATCATTTCATTAACCCCCCCCCAGTCTTCTGGCACAATATGACCTGCTCCCACTGGTGAGGACACTGAGGGTCAAAAGATCCAGCTTGGAGGTGAGGGAAGAGCCAGGATGCAGACCTAGAACCCCCTGTCTCCTTGGGAAGGGGCCCACCTGGCAGGGCAGGGCTCTGGGCTGCAGTGTTCAAAGGGGCTGGGCCGGGGCTCTGGCCCGCACTTGGAATGAGGTAGGGGGATGGGGCAGCCATGGTCTAGCCTCACACAGCGCACAGCCAGCAGCACCTGCCCCCCTCCGCAGGTCACCGGGCATGGAGCCAAGGCTTGGGTCTCCCACATGCAGGGAGAAGGCCAGCACTCTGTAGGAGGCCACATCCCAAGGCCAGACTTTCCCCTGCACAGTCTTGCTCCCCTCACTCACCGAGCAGGGCACGGGACAGCCTGGCAGACCTCCCGCCGGCTTCCAGGCTTGCTTGCCAGGCCACACAGCTCCTCCTGGACAGGCACCCTGAGGGCAGAGTCCATGCACAGGAAACGCAGCTCCATCAGGCCTGCGTGGACGAAGCAGAGACCCGGAGCCCCAAGGGGCGGGCTCAGCAAGGACCACAGCCTGGGCTCACTGGGCAGCTCTAGCACGTAAGGCCTGCATGGGTTTCAGTCCCGGCTCTGCCACTTACCAGCTGTGTGACCTCAGACAACTGACTTAACGCTCTGAATTTTAGATTAAAAAAAAAAAGATAATGGCATCTCCCTTGCAGAGTCATTTATAAAGATTTTTAAAAGGGGAGATGAAAAGTGCCTGGCACATAGTAGATACTTGACAAATGGTAGCTGTTATTGTTTATTGAGAGGCATTATGAGAATTGCAATATGGGCTGGGCACAGTGGTTCACGCCTGTAATCCCAGCACTTTGGGAGGCCGAGGCGGGCAGATCACGAGGTCAGGAGTTCGAGACCAGCCTGACCAACATGGTGAAACCCCGTCTCTACTAAAAATACAAAAATTAGCTGGGCATGGTGGTGTGCACCTGTAATCCCAGCTACTCAAGAAGCTGAGGCGGAGAATCACTTGAACCCGGGAGGCAGAGGTTGCAGTGAGTCAAGACTGCGCCAGTGGACTCCAGCCTGGGCGACAGAGCAAGACCCCGTCTCAAAACAAAAAAGAAAAAAAAATCTCAATATGAAAATCTCTGATTGTGTCTATCATAAAGATGTTATTAGTGCCAGTTTCCTCAAGTCTCTCCTTTAGGAATAGCCTCCAAAGAAATAGACAGGCTCAGTGGCTCATGCCCGTAATCCCAGCACTTTGGGAGGCCAAGGTGGGCAGATCACCTGAGGTCAGGAGTTCGAGTCCAGCATGGCCAACATGGTGAAACTCCCTCTCTGCCAAAATAAAATACAAAAAATTAGCCAGGTATGGTGGCACATACCTGGAGTCCCAGTTGCTTGGGAGGCTGAGGCATGAGAATCGTTTGAACATGGGAAGCGGAGGTTGCAGTGAGCCAAGATCACACCACTGCACTTCAGCCTGGGTGACAAGAGGGAGACTGTCTCAAAAAAAAGAAAGAAAGAAAAAAAAATCTCTTGGTTGGGCACAGTGGCTCAAGCCTATAATCCCAGCACTTTGAGAGGCCGAGGCAGGAGGATCACTTGAGCTCAGGAGACCAGGCTGGGCAACATAGGGAGATCCCATCTCTGCCAAAAATACAAAAATTAGCAGGGTATAGTAGCTACTCGGGAGGCTGAGGTGGGAGGAAGCCCAGGTGGCAGAGGTTGTAGTGAGCTAAAATTGCACCACTGCACTCCAACCTGGTGACAGAGCAAGACCTTGTCTAAGAAAAGAAAAGAGAAAAGAAATCTCTTTTTGGTCTCGGTTTCAAACAGGCTGACATTTTACTGAGCAAGTGGTTAGGGTTTTTGTTTAAGAACACGGTGTATCTTCGCCCATTAGGATGGCCATTATAAAAAACACAGAAATAGGCCAGGTATGGTGGCTCACGCCTGTAATCCCAGCACTTTGGGAGGCCAAGGCAGGCAGATCACCTGAGGTCAGGAGCTTGGGACCAACCTGGCCAACATGGTGAAATCTCATCTGTACTAAATAAAAAAATTAGCCAGGCATGGTGGCAGATGCCTATAGTCCCAGCTACTCAGGAGGCTGAAGCACGAGAATCACTTGAGATGCGGAGGTGAAGCTTGCAGTGAGCCAAGATTGTGCCACTGCGCTCCAGCCTCGGCAACAGAATGAGACTCTGTCTCCAAAAAAAAATTAAAAAAAAAAAAACAGAAATGAAAAGTGTTGGCAAGGATGGGAGGACATTGGAACTCTTATGCACCATTGGTGGAAATGTAAAATGGTGCAGCCACTGGGGAAAAGAATCCAGCAGTTCCTCAAAAATTAAACATAGAATTCTTATTTGACCCAGCTAGCACACTTCTGGGTATACACCCGAAAGAACTGAAAGCAGGAACTCGAACAGATATTTGCCCACCCATGTTCACAGAAGCGTTATTCACAATAGAATAGCCAAAATGTGGAAGGAAGCCAAGTGTCCACTGATGAATAAATGGATAAACATATAAAGGATACACTCACAATGGAATCTTTTTCAGCCTTAGAAGGAAACCACATGCCTACAAACGTGGATGAACTGTGAGGACATGCACACTCAGTGAATTCAACCAGTCACGAAAGGTAAATTGCTATATGATGTCCACTTCCTACAGGGTCCCTGGGAATGTAGAATTTGGAGGCAGAAAGGAAGAAATTGGAGGTTTGCCAGGGGGCTGCGTGAGGAGGAAACGGGAAGTTCGTGTTTCACAGGACAGAGCTCAGTTTGGGAAACTGGAAAAGTTCTGGAGAAAGATGGTGGTGGATGCCCGCACAACAATGTGGACTGTGCCTTTTATTGTCACTGACATGCACACGGGGAAGAAACAGGTTTATGATGGTAAATTGGTATGAAATGGTGGTTATACTATAATAAAGCAAGATTGGGAAATAGAAAGAAACCTTGGTATCTTTTTTTTTTTTTTGAGACGGGAGTCTCGCCTCGTCGCCAGGCTGAGTTGCAGTGGTACGAATCCTCCACTCACTGCAAAGCCCACCTCCGGTTCACGCCAGGTCTCCTGGCTCAGCCTTCCCGAGGAAGCTGGACTACAGGCGCCGGGCCACCCACACCTGCTAGTTTTTATTTTTTTTTTTTTTTGTATTTTTAGTAAAAACGGGGTTTCACCGTGTTTGCCAGGATGGTCTCGATCTCCTGACCTCATGATCCGCCCGCCTCAGCCTCCCAAAGTGTTGGGATTACAGGCGTGAGCCACCGTGCCCGACCTAACACTGTGTATCTTAAAGCTAAGGTTTCTCTGCTCGGGTCGTCAACTGGGGCCCCCTCTGGCCGCTCTGCTGGGGCCATCAGGAATGGCTCTCGTGCCACACTGCCCGGCATTATTGCCTTTTCCTACTTTTCAGCCAGTCAACGCTCACATTTGAAGTGGCTGTCAGCTACTATACTTAATCTCCTTGTATTACCGCGTGTTCCCATATGGTCTGGATTTTCTGCAATCCACCTCAAATGCTTTTTAGAAGGAGGCAAGATGCAAGTGGATAAGAGAGTTACCATGAGTGCTGGTCCCCAGGAGCCTCCCGGGGGCCCTCACCTCGCCCGCAGGAGACGGAGCACGGCCCTGCCAGAGGGGTCCACACATGTGCAGCTTGAGCCCCCGTCTTGATGCTGCCCCATGGGGAGGGAGCCTCCTCCCCTGCAGAGGTGGCATCCAGCTGTGGGGAACAGCAACAAGTTCATGGGTCTGGGACTCCTCTGAGCACCCAGAGACCCCCGTCCCAATCTTCTCAGGAGGCAGCAGAGAGAGCAGGAAGTGGCATGTGCACACCAGGGCTCCCTCCCCTGCTCCTTTGGCTCCCCGGTCTCCCGGCGGGTGTCCTTGCTGCACACCCCACCTTTGCAGGCTCCTCGGCAGCATGAGTGCTCACTATGGGCCTGGCCGAGAGCTGGGAACCAAGAGTGGGACGTGGGAGCATGACTGGCCCTGCAATCCCCCCAGCCATGAGGGGCGAGGGTCGCCAGCACCCAGGCCAGAGAGCAAGGCCAGTCAGCCTCCAGCCCCTGGACACCGGGCAGGAGCCCAGCAGCGTTTCTTTGCACAGCAGCTGCAGTATACTCTCCTCAGATGCTTCTCTCAGCCCGGCTTGCAAGGGGAATGGGAGCCTCCCGAGGGGCCCTGAGCCATCTTTCTAAGCTTCTTTTCTGAGCAGGGGTGGCCCTCAGACAGCATTCCCACAGAAGGAAGGTGTTCTCGCTCTGGCTTGGAGGACAATGGTGACGGGTGCTCCTCATTCTCCCAGCCAGGTAAAGGACCCAACAGCCCCAGCCACTCTCATGCCCAGGGCACTCACATGGCCCCAGCCTGGAGGGCATGACATCCCGACACACGGCTCAGGGGCAGGCAGCTTCTCATCTATGGAGTCAGGCCCTTCAGTCGCTGGAGCCTCCAGGCCATCTGCCCCTGGCACACAGGTCTCGTTCTGCAAGGCTGGGCCTGCTCCACTGGCTGATGTGCCTGGGCTGGGCTCTGACACCTCCCACCTGAGGATGGCATGAGACAGTCATCAGGCCCTGCCTCTGCCACCCAGTGGAAGGTACAGCCCAGCTGCTAGGGGCAGGGAGGCAGAGGACCTGCTCCCCAACATCCAGGAGCCGAAAGGGGGGGCCACACAGAGAAGTGAAGCTCAGGGTCTCTCCCTGAAGCACTAGGTTCTCCATTCATCAGCCAGCAGGTTCCCATTCAACAAGCACTCGCTGCTCAGCAGTCAGGCACCCCCCTGCCTCCAGGGTGCAGAGACAGAACCTATCCCTGGCCGGGCGCGGTAGCTCACACCTGTAATCTCAGCACTTTGGGAGGCTGAGGTGAGCAGACTGCTCGAGCCTGAGAGTTGGAGACCAGCCTGGGCAACATGGCAAAACCCTGTTTCTACAAAAAATACAAAAACTAGCTGGGCTTGGTGGTGCACACCTGCCGAGGCAGGAGGCTGCAGTGAGCCAAGTTCATGCCACTGCATACCAGGCTGGGTGAGAGAGCAAGACTCTGTCCTAAAAAAAAAAAAAAAGAGAACCCATCCCTCCCACCCTCCAGAGGCAGAGACCGACCTCCAGCCAGGCAATCACTGACTCCATGCACCATAGCAGGTGCAGAGAAACAGGTGCCACATGGACTCGGATCACCAGGTTCAAGGGTGGCCAATGGGTTTCAGCTGTGAGTCAGCCCTGCGCTGGAGTGGCTGCCTGGAGAGCTGTGTTGAGAAGGATTCTGAGGCCCTATCTGGCCTCAGTGGGGAAAAGTGGTGATTGCTTTGTCTGCCACAGATGAGGGGGCAGGGAAAGGAGTCCAGAGCTATGAGTGGGCCACCAATGATCCAGACCAATCCCCTCCCACTGGACAGGTCACAAAACTGAAGCCCACAGAGGAGGGGACTTGCCCTGTCACTCAGCTGGTTAGTGGCAGGGCAGGATGATAAGCCACTGTCAACTTGGACACTGAGGGGATGAGATGCAGCCATGTGGGCACGGTGGAGATGGTGGTGATGAGCAAGTGACATCTCCCACTCCGTTCAGTTTGACCTCATCCTCGAAGCCACCCCCTCCCCAGGCAGGTCGGCATCCCCAGTTCAGAGCAGGGGCTCGGAAGCTCAGAGACGGAAACAATGGGTCCAGGCTTTCCTGGGTAGTAAGGAACTCTGACACCGGCACTTACAACCGCCAGGTGACACTGCCCATCACCCTGGATGGTGAGGCTCCACCAGAGGCCTCAGGAGGAGGGGATTCAGAAGGACAGGGGCTCAGCGCAGGGACGAACTCTGCCGGGGAGGCCCTCTCCCAGGCCCACCTAGCCCTGGGCTCACCTGGCGGGGCAGGGCTGGGGGTTGCAGATTTCCACTGCCACAGCTGGCTGCTGGGCCCCTGCTGTGCACCGGGCTGGGGGCAACGTCTTCAGGAGGCTGCTCTGGGCCTCCACGCAGCGCACTGGCCGCTCCCGCAGGCCACCCCCACAGGAGACACTGCATGGGCCGAAGTCTCCCACCGCCCAGCTGAGGAAGGAGACAGAGCGCTGGGGCCCTGGCCAGGTCCCAGGCTAACTTGGGGTGATGGGGTGGTGGGTGCTGACACACTTCGCCTGGTCTGGGACAAGCACTGGGCACTAGGACCAGCCTAGCCTCTCCAGGTGGCTGAGCCTGAGGACACCCGAATCACATGCTGGTGGGCAGCTGCCCTGTCCTGCACCTAGCAGGGATGACCTTGTCCCTAACAGTGTGCCCATCAGGTGCAGTGACAGCCAGGGACTTTGCACCAGAGCTCCTCAAGTCTCCCCACAACCCTCCAGGTAGGCAATCACCTCCATCTCGCCATGAGCACCTGAGCTCAAGAGAGGCCTCGGTGGCCCAGACAAGGTGGCAGCAGGTGTGGGTCCCACTGGGCTGACATTGTCACCGTGTCTGCCCTGAGCCTCAGTGTCCTCACGTGCAGAAGGGGGCACTCACAGAGCCCCCTCGCAGGGCTGTGGGCAGGGGTAGTGAGAGCCTGCACAGAAGCAGCTCAGCCCGGCCCTGCCACATGGGCCCCACAGGCCAGGGACAGAGCCCAGCAGCCCCAGCAGAACCCACTCTCCCACCGGAGCTGCGCAGACAGCACCACACTCACTACGGAGGGCAAGGTTCGAGCACGCAGGCCTCTGGCCACGCTGGTGGCTGCTGGCTCCCTTGGCACCGGGCAGTCTCCACCAACTCCTTCCTGGCCTGGTCCAGGCAGCTGTAGTTTACCCAGCGCAGCCCTGGGAGGGAAGCGGGAGGGCTAGGCTGCCTCCCTGTAGGGGCAAGCCATGCTGTGGGCGAGCCTTCCCTGGGTCTCACCTGCCCCACAGCTCACCGAGCAGGGCCCACGCACAGCGGCCCACACCCAGGCCTGCCGCGGCTTAGGCTGGAAGTAGGTGAAGGTGATGTCTGGGCAGGTGAGATTGCCATACTCCTCGCCGTACCGCCTGTAAACCTGCAGACAGACAAAGAGCTTCAGGCCTTGTCCAGTGGGTTCCCTGAGGGTCACTGTCATGGCCACCTCCCCTGGGAAGCCTCCCAACTTCTTCTTCCATCCCTATAATCTTTCGTTCAACGAGCAATCACTGGCCAGGCACGGTAGCTCGTGCCTGTAAACCGAAAACTTGGGGAGCCTGAGGCAGGCAGATCACTTGAGCCCAGAAGTTTCAGACCAGCCTGGGCAACATTGTGAGACTCCATCTCTATTTTAAAAAAAAAAGTCAAAAAATCAGCTGGGCATGATGGGGCACGCCTGTAGTCCCAGCTACTTGGGAGGCTGAGGTGGGAGGATCACTTGAGTCCAGGAGGTTGAGGCTGCAGTGAGCTGTGATAGTGCCACCGCACTCCAGCCTGGGCGACAGTGAGACCCTCTCTCAAAAAACAACAAAAATAAAAATAATGACAGGCAATCGCCGACACTGACCTGTACCAGGCTCTGGGTAGAGCACAGTGCACAAGACACTGACTGAGCCACAAGGAGCTCTCACTGGGTTGGGATAGGGGGCTGGGGACAGGTAATTACCAAGTCATTGGTAGGTTAGGGAATAGGGTATTCAGGCAGCACAGAGAAGGCTCCCTAAGCTGGTTGGGTAAAGGATAACGTACAATGGAGGAGGCAGGCCCACCTTAGGCTGAGCTAAGGAGCCCAAGAAGGGCTAGGGCAGGGCCAGCATAGAAAGGGCTTCTGGAGCCAGGGTTGAGGCCTGTGGGGTTGGCAGGAAGAAACTGGATCCCTGGGGCCCTGTGGCCGGCTACTGGCTTGGGCCTGGCCTGGAGAGCACTGGGAAGAATTTCAGCAGGTTCCTGGGCCTGAGGCTCTTCAGGAGGGTAACTGGGTCTTGTGCCCAAGGCCAGCCCAAAAAAGAGGCCAACCTGGAGGCCAGAGCCCAGGGCGAGATGACATTCAGCACCTGCCCCCTCGATGCCCATATCTGGCCACCACCTCAAGCCTGTGTTGGTTACAGTGGGGCTTCTCAGGCCCAATACAGGGATGTCTTGATTCAGGGAATGTGCAGAGGACCCAAGAATCTGCTGTTTTACACACTGCAGAGGATGACGGGAGAGCCACTCAGCAGCCAGCATCTGGAGACAATGTCCCAGGCAAGGGGAGGGGAGGAAGGGAGCCCTATTGGGGGAAGGGAAGGGATGAGCCACTCACAGGGGCTTGCTCCGGCCCGGCCTGGCCTAATATAGGGGAGGCCCTGCTGTAGGGGCAGAGGACGCTGCCAGAGCAGCCAGCTGGGGCCGCTGAGACTGGGCCCCTCTCCCAAGGTTCTCAGGTCTGTTTCAGCCTGCGCTTATGTCTCTCCACCCTCCACGTGCCTTCCTCAGCAAAGCACCAATGGGGACATACAAGGGCGATCACACATCACTGAGTTCACACCTGAACAAGGCCTTCCAGTTCCCATGCACTCTACCCCAAAGAAGCAGTGGGAGCCAGCATCCGTTCTCAGCATCCTCAGCACCAACGCCTGCTCCCCAGATGCCACTGCCCCTGCATCCACGCCTTCATCTCCCCACAAATCCACACAGTAGGACCTTCCTTCATCCCTCCCACACCGACACTGTTCCCTTGGCCATACGCTTCCCTCCCTGCTTGGCCCGGCAGTATCTGCTCATCTGAGACCTCAGCTCCATCACTCTTTCCCGGGGAGCCCTGGACCCCTGCCTGGGGCCCTCCGACCCTACCTGATCCCAGAACTGCAGGGCCTTCTCCCACAGGCTCTGGGCACAGGCACATTTGGATATTTATTTGTGGGACCCTAAGCCCCTGGAGGAGCTAGCTGCATTTTGCTTAGCACAGGGCCCAATACATAGTGGGTTCCCTGTAAGTGGCCACTGAATGAATAAATGAACGAATCAGGGAATGGATGGATGGACAAACGCGCAAGCAGCCATAGCCCCCAAGAAGAAGCCCCCACTGGCCTCCCCCAGGCTCTCCTGCTGACCTGGATCTCAGCATCTTCCTGGAGGGGTCCCCAGATGCGGATCTCCTCCAGGCGGGGCAGCCGGTCCTCGGTGAGGGCCACTCTGTACTCGACACGGCCATCCTCCAGGAGGGAGGGGTAGGTAGTGTTAGGGGAGATGCTCGTCTTCCCAGCCACGACGTAGCGCCCTCCGATCCTCACCGCTGTCGGAGAACCAGCCCTGTTAGCCGTGTGGAACTGAGCACCCATCCTCCTCACAGGCACATGTCAGTGACTCTCCTTCCCAGGGTCCCCAGCCCTCCTCTAAGGAGCTGCAGGCATCTGAGCCAGAGGCTTCCCCACAGCGGAGGCTCTGTGCCTCTTTCCACAACCTGGTGGGTGCCATGAGCAAGTGCACTCATGCACAGAACTCGACAGGCTCAGGGCTCAGGGACCCCACGGCAAGGGCCGGCAACCAAGGCTTCAAAGGTTACGTGCAGGCACACTCCGGAAAGAAAGACCCACTGTGGCCCTGAACAGCAAAGAAGCAGCCTTGCCCAGAGAGAAGTCCGGCCTTTGCTGTTGGCTTCCAAGAGGAGACAGAGGTCACACGAGGCAGAAGTGTCTTCCTTTAGGGTGGGGGCTGGCTGTACCAGAAAGACCAACTATGTGATTTAGGGTAGAGGCTTTGGGTCACCAGGAGACTGAGAGTATCCACGTGGTCAATTAGTCAATCACGGCTTTGCACTCAAATCCCAGTAAAAACTCTCAACTCCCACTCGGTGGGCTTTCAGTATGGGCAATACTCCATGTGTATGGCCACGCTCCAATGCTAGAAGGGTGTCACATCCCTGAGACATCAGGCCTCCTGTTTGGACCCTCCCACACTCTGCCTACATCTCTTCCCTTGGACAATTCTAACCCATGTCCTTCTGGAAGGAGCCACAGCCACATGCCACAGCTCTCAGTGAGCTCTGGGAGTCTTCCTAGTCAATTATCAAGCCTGAGGGTGGTTTGGGGAACCCCTTGAACTTGCGAGTGATGTCAGAAGTGAGGGCATCTTGGGGACAGTGTCCTGTACCTTTTCAGTCTAGCTAACTGGGTGGGAGTCCTCCAGTCAACTCACCCAAGTGTGTGAAGAGAGGCCTGTGGTTGGCAATGTAGACACTGGTCAGGTTGGGGGTAACCGTCAGAAATGTGACATATTCTAGAAAGAAAAAAAGAAGGAAAGATGCGTGGACCTCACGGCCACCACATCACAGACAAAGGGAGCTGATCTTAGCTGGTCGGGAAAAATTGAACAATGCCATGGGGCTGGCTCCAGCAGCACTGAGTCCCCTGTCATGGGGGCAATTAAAAGCAGGCTGGAGGACCACCTGCCAAGGCTCTGCCCTGGCTGGGAGAAGGGACCAGGGCCAAGGTTCTCCAGTACAGTGGGGCATGCCAGAGGGAGGCAGGGCTCAAGTCTCTGCTCTCCATAGAAGCACTGGCATTTACAAATGATTTTTGACCTCATATATATACCAAAGTCAAAGATTTTCCAAGTGTAACTACCATCCCTCTCACTCACTTGTGTCCCTCTCAGTGGGATTTCTTGAGCAGGAGAGAAGAGGCTAGCTGCTACAGAATGCACGATGTCCGGATTATTATTATTATTTTTTTTAGAGTGTCTCGCTCCTTTGCCCACGTTGGAGTGCAGGGGGTTCTCCGCCTCCCGGGTTCAAGCAATTATCCTGCCTCAGCCTCCCGAGTAGCCAGGACTACAGGCACCCGCCACCACGCCCAGCTAAGTTTTGTATTTTCAGTAGAGACAGGGTTTCACCATATGGGCCAGGCTGGTCTTAAACTCCTGACTACAGGTGATCCACCCGCCTCAGCCTCCCAAAGTGCTGGGATTACAGGCGTGAGCCACCACACCCGGCCAATGTCACTGGCAGATCAGGCACTGACATCCCATCTCTGAGTCTCAATTTCCCATCTGTGAAATGGAGATAATAGCAGTAAGCCCCTCCTTGGTCACTACAAGGATTCAGGGAGAGAATCGGGAACTACCAAGTGTGTTCCTTGGTTCATAATTCTGTTTTTTTGAGCCAGAGTCTTGAGCACAGCTACAGTGAGCCACCATTACTGAGGCACCACAGTCCCAGCAGCAACAAGGCCAAAATCTGAGCCTGCCACAGGAGGGTGGCGAAGTGGAGGAGGGAGATGCTGACACTGCAGGAGGCATCCAGGGCTGAGTGAGTGCGCGGGCCCTGTGACCTGAGCAGCCCCTGCAGCAGGGCTCCGGGCTGTGGCCGTCTTGGAGGCTGGGGGAAGCCCAGCCTCTGCCCTGAGGGAGGCTGCCTACCTCTCGCTCTTCCAGCTGTGAAAGAGCCGTTCCGTGGGCTGCACGTGCTGTTGTCCCCACCACACACCTGGCACACGTCCCGTACCTGCTGGGAGTCCATCCTGCCATCACAGCCAAATGTCTATGCAAAGGGAAGGACAGGGGGCCAGTGTCACTGGAGGGTGCTGGCCTCAGTGACGCTGCAGCCCTGCCAGCTCTGGGGTTCTGGGATCCACAAAACCAGCAACACTTCTGCAGCACCCCAACATCTACCCAGGAAGCAAGCTTAGAGGGCTCAATGACTTGCCCAAGGTCACACTGCAGCCCTTAACCCAGGCTGACTCCAAGTCCAGATCCTTTTCCCCAGCACCACTCCCCTGCAGACTCACTGCAGCTCCACTGGGGCCAGCACCCACCGACCTGCCCCCAGGAGCCTTCCGATAGGACAGGCAGGCCCCAGGGTCATCGCCAATGTCCACACACGCCTACCCTGCAGCTGCCCGACACGCACAGGCTTAGGGTCCCGTCCTCCCGGGGGCCACTTGGCACACACCGGGTCCCATCCAGGAAGCTGTCTCCACGCTTCATGATGAAGCTCTCGCCAATTGCCCGGCACATGTGCCTGCACAGAGCATCCCCTGGGAGGGCAGAGTGAACAAGGGGTCCTGAACTGAGCAGGAGAGGCAGGCCCTCCAGCCCCCACCCAGCTTCATCCTTTGCATCTGGGGCAAGGGTTTCTATCTTCCCCCCATTCTACCTCCTAAGGCAATAATCCTAATCACAATCCTAATCTAATCTAGTAACTAATGGTATTGAATTATGAACCAAGGCTGGGTGCAATGGCTCATGCCTGTAATCCCAGCACTTTGGGAGGCCGAGGCAGGCAGATCACATGAGGTCAGGAGTTTGAAACCAGCCTGGGCAACATAGTGAAACCAAATCTCTACTAAAAATACAAAAAAAATTAGCCGGTGTGGTGGTGCCAGCCTGTAGTCCCAGCTACTCGGGAGGCTGAGGGGCAAGAATCCCCTGAATCCCAGAGGCGGAGGTTGCAGTGAGCTGAGATCGCACCACTGCACTCCAGCCTGGGCAATAGAACAAGACTCTGTCTCAAAAAACAGAATTATGAACCAAAGAACACACTTGGCATTTCCCGATTCTCTCCCTGAATCCTTGTAGCGACCAGGGAGGGGCTTACTGCTGTTATCTCCATTTCACAGATGGGAAATTGAGACTCAGAGATGTGATGTCAGTGCCTGATCTGCCAGCGAGGCCTGGCCACTATGTGATCCACGGTCTGTGGGACACCAGAGCCTGAGCCGCATTGCCCAGTGCTGGAGAGATAGTAGGCCAACCCCCCACAACTCTGCCCTGCCCGAGGGTCTCCAGGGCTGGCTCCTCCCCTGACCCCACACTCCGCAGGCCTCACCTTGGCTGTGTGGTACAGCAGCGCCCCAGTGGTAGAAGGAGGCACCGCCAGGGGAGGAGTGCAGCGGCTGGCCGTCCGTCCTGGCACACTGTTCCGACATGAACTCCAGCTGGGTCTTCTCACAGGCCTGGCCAGGAGGAGGCAGAGGACAGGCAGAGGAGGGAGATGGGGAGGGGGGGTGTTGTCACTGGGAGACTGCACGGCACCCTGCAATGTGGGATCAAGATATGGGTGTGGCCTCAGCTCCAGGCTGTGCCTCGGTTCCCTGCTCTGTAAACCGGGGTGACAAAAGTGCCTGCCCATCTCTATTGATGGGAAAACTCCGGGGAATCTGTAAAGAACACAGGGCAGCAACAAAGAAGAAAGCCGGGAAAGAGCATTACGCTCGGCGCCTCTGCTTCCAAGGCCTGAACTCAATAAAACAGTGATGGGGATGTGTATTCTTTAGGTAGCGCACCTAGAGGCAGGTAACCAAAGCACGGAGCAAAGACCTCACCACCGGAGCCTCTGCACTCAGGCAGCCGTCCTGGACTTTTATGCACTGACAGAAGATAATCGGAGTCGACTCCCTGGACGGCCACACTGACCACGCTGCCTCCACGAAATCCCACCACCCTCTGCTCCAGCCAAAGACCCTCCCCTCGCGATCTGGGGAGGTCTTGGGGGTCCATTTGGAGAAGGAGGAAAGGGAGGGTCTCACCATACAGAATGTGTAATACATACAGGGCCAAACCCACACCCAGGGCCATCCAAGCAGGGGACAGAATTTAACTCAATGTGAAAAAAATCTTTCTGGCCCCACGCAGGGACAGAATTTAACTACATATAGAATTTTCCTGCGCCGGGTGGCCGGTGGTCAACAGCTGTCATCCCACACTATTGGAGAGGGGCCAGCAGCGATGGAGACAGACAGGATCACGAGAGTAAGCAGATCGAGACCATCCTGCCCTACACAGTGGAAAACCCCCAGTCCTCCTACAAGAAACATACAAAAACTAGCCGGCATCGGAAGGCGTGCGGCGCACCTGTAGTCTCCAGCTACTCGGAAAGGCTGAGAGCCAGGAGAATGGTGTAAACCCAGGGAGGCGGCTTGCAGTGAGCTGCACAAGATCCGGCACTGCACCTCAGCCCTGGGCTGGAAGAGCGAGACTGCCGTCTCAAAAAAAAACCACATCTTTCTACCCTATTTTTCACCCCACGAGGATGAGCGCCACAAATCAAAAAACCAGTAAACCAGGCACGGGCGACCAGGATGGCTCAGCTGTAACTGTCCAGCATTGGGAGGTCCGACGACGGTGAGGAATCACGAGGTCGAAGATCCGAGCCCATCCTGGCGAACCAGGTGAAACACACCGGTACATCTACTAAAAATCAATAACAATAAGCAGGTTCACAGCGAGATGGCGGGCGGCCTGTAGTCCGCAGTTAATTGGGAGGCTGAGGGCAGGACGAATGGACGTCACCCGTGCCGAGGACGGAGCTTGCGTGCTGAGATCCGGCCACTGCACTCCACCCCAGCTACAGGCCGAGAACTTACCCCCCGTCTCACAAAAACAAACAACACAAAACAGAAACAGGCCGGCCACCATGGCTCACACTGTGAATGCTACCAGGCACTTTTGGAGGCTGAGGTGGGGCAGATCCACGCTGGGGTTAGGTAAGACCAGCCTGCCACATGGCCGAACTCATTCTATAAAAAGAAGAAGAAGCGAGAGGAAGGAAAGGAGGAGGGAGGGAGGCGCGGAGGAGGAGGAAGGAAGAAGCGGGAAGGAAGGAAGCGAAGGAAGGTAACAGGAAAGAGGACGAGGGAAGCGAAGGAGGAAGAAAAACACAACAGAAAGCCGCAAGGACTGGTACAGTGGATGCTGACAA